CATGTGCCAAGTGCGCACGCTAAAGAACCTGATTGTCCTGATGACATGGCGACCCCCAATGGGAAATAATGGACAACAAATGTAAATTATCCCTAGACAACAGAATAATCACATACAAGTCAACAGTGAAACCAATAAGGACTTGAATTATGGGTTCAACCAAACCTCCCTATCTCTGTAAGCAGACCCTATCCATAATCACAAATCCTTAGATCCACCTTCTACAACACATTCTGTTTCATCCGTATAACGTCCTAATAGTTCCTTTTATAAAAGAAGGTGCAACATCCTGCTACATTCCTCGATATCAACAAAGTTTTAATGATTTAAGAAGTCTCGAGTGTTTAATAAATTTACACGATATCGTAATGAGATTATTGGTATTTAAAGAAAGTTTTGACGGAACCTCTTTTCCAGACTCCTAAAGGGTCTTTGTTAATTTTTCTTGTAAAAATTAAATTCGCTGGACATTTTTTCCAGCTGGCTTATCGTATCGGATCATCATGGATTGTAGGTAACGTTCCTAATTGTCAAGAATATACCGAATAACTTCGCGAACGGCAATGTAGTGTGTGAGAGTGCGTTGAACCTAATGGATTTCGTTCTTTCTTCTGTCAGGTCATCACAATCCATTGTCTTCGATCTTAACTAATGCAGTGAGAAGATCCCGCGAGACAGGCAATTATCATCCCACCCTAGGTTACGGCCTTCCCATAAACGTCTCTGCACGGAAGAGCGTTTTGGGACAAATTAGAAGAGGAAAAAAGTAAACATGGATTATGCTAAACCTTGTTATACTTTGATTTTATCCGATTCCTCTTAATTGCTTTTTTTAAAAACTTAATGTTAGTTTTAATTTTGATGTGGCAAATTTGAAAAGCAGCTAACAAATTCATCTTCTAATAAATAAAGTTATTTTCTGCTTAAAACAAATTATTACGAGTATGTGAGTGAGTTTGTTCGTTAGAAAATCATGTTTTATTTCTATTTTTAATTGGAAAAAAACATATTGTAAAAGCGTATAACTTCGATTTCATAATTTATAAGAAGTAAACAAAGACATGACTCGTTAGAAATAACATATCTGAAATAAAATCTGATTGGCGCATAGGGATAAATGAAGCGGCCACAAGGCCCTCCTGCACCTCGACCTGAGTAGATCTATTGTGTTCCTCTATTTTTTTATGTCACTAGTCAGTTTCCGGTTGTTAGTCAACCTCCATAGCCTTGCCAGCGGCTCCTTAGTTTAGGATCTTTCCTGGGAAGAATCTATGCCTATCTAATCTATCTATTGACCTCACAAAAACGTTAAACTGTTCTGCGGCCTACTCCTCTTCCCGGCTGTATCTTCACAATGTTTCTTCTGTCCACCTATCCGGTATATGTGCCATCTTAGGTGTCATTGCCCTGTCAGGAGTCCAACGTGAATTCTGGTTCGGTTTCGATCGCCTTCCACTAATTACCTTGTACGTTTTGCGGATAGCTCTTCTATGAACCTCTTAGCGTGTTTCATGCCTGTGCTTTTATTCCATCAAACGTTGGACTCATTAAGGATCCACTTTAGGATGTATTCTCTTTTGTGGCATAGTCTATGCCAGTATAGTCCATGTAGACTCCGTCTTTGGCCAACATATCAATCTTTTCATTGCTTCTGTGCCCCAAATGCCCAAGGACCCATGGCTGGGTTTGGTCATTGGTGTCGCTGATCCGCCAGGGCATCCTTGCAGTTCCAAACACTCTTTACCTTCACTTCGCATGGTGCTAGGGCGTTTAGTGCTGCCCGACTCAAATAATATGGTTATCGCCGGGAATGTATTCCTAGCATTTTTATTTCCCTGTCGCAGTGTTCAATCGCTATTTTACACTGGGAATGGTATGTACCATTACTCGTAGATTCATACTACTCTATAACACTTTAAACCTCTGAAAAGTTCTTAGGCGGCAGTGCCCTGTCCAAACTACAACCAGAATCCTGGTTCTGTTGACGTTACCTTCCAGAATTCCTTTGTAAGTCTTGCAGATGGCCCTTCTATGAATCCCTTCGCGTGCCTCATGCTTGGGGCTTCGTTTCATCAGGTTTTAGACACATTAAGAATCTATTTTGGAATCTATCCGTTTTTTGGCCAACATGCCCACTTTCTCATTGCCTCTGTGTCCTGAATGACACCCATGCTTAGGTGAGGTCATTAGTGTCATTTACTTCTGCCAAGGATTCTATAAAATTCCATATGCTTTTTGCCTGTACCTCGCATGAGGCTTAGGCCTTAAGTGTAGCCTGGCTGTTAAAGGAAATGGCTATCTTCCTGCAATGTGCTCATAGCTTATAGTAAGACGTCTGAAAATTTTTTCCTTATCAATCACCCTGGCCTGCTTATCCTCGCTGTTTTGTCCAATCAGACGTAGGCATTTTACCATATTCAGCATTGGTTCTGTGTCATTTTTGTAAAGTCAAGTTTCTTGTTTAAGGTCGAGGGGGCTGCATTGTTTCGATCGTTCTTTTTTTTTTAAACACGAATTATCTTATTATTATTACCTTGGTATGGTGTAGAATAGAAGAAATAAATTAAATTTTTACTGCCAAGCTTTCGACATATTTTAAGGTTTTAATCAGAGAAAAAATAATTTTACATAACAATACGTTGACATAATTAAGTTTTTAAAATCTAGTTTCAAATTTCTTTGAAGACCGTTAAAAACTTATTTATGTCAATTTTACTCGTCTTTAAGATTGTTTTGCCTTGAATTTAAAATAGGTCAAATGATTGGCAGATAGAAATTGTATTCGATTCTTCATCCAGACCAAGAGCCAAATTTTTCGTCAGTTAAAAAGTGATCGATCCATCTAACACTTTAAACAGAATTTTTTTTCTTTTTAATTGGTATAGTGTTTGAATGGTATAATGTATATGAATTGTTATTAATCTGTGTGTTACGGTGTTAAATTTGTTATGGCTGCATAGTTGCCAAGTTTTCAAATATGTTTTTCGTCCTTTTTGCAAGTCGTGGGGTAGTATCATGCATGCATTGAGAATCTGTGTCTTTTGAAGTTTTTATAATCGAAATTATATCTAATAAAAGTAAGAACAGGGCTGGTATAGAGCTGAATCACGAATCTCGTTTATAGTGGTATAAAAATAGTTTCAAAAATTGAAGAAATGTTTCAAATAAAAAAAATTCAGATGGTCCAATTCTAAATGCGGAGTTGATAGAATTAATTCTTTATTGTTGCTTTATATAATCTATCGTATTCTTAATTAAGAACCTTAAGCCTGCAGAAGAGATTAATACAGCGTATTATTGGGTTGATTACATAAGTATACCAGCTATCTATTCTAAAACAATTAAACCATAAAACCATTTTAACAAACATAATATTAATTAACTGATTATTAGTTACATCAATTTGTGAATCAATTCTGTTGCAATTTTAGTTAGTTTTGATTCGTTTGTTCAATTGAGAAAAAAAGGTGTGTTAAAGTTCCAAAGGTAAACTGGAGAGAACTTTGATTATAGTTATTACTGTGGCGCAAGAATTGCCTTTTCGTGGTGTATAACTTTCCAAAGGATTTAAAAGTCGATTACTTTGTGAATTTCCATTGGGAAATATTTATTTTTGCCACTATTAAATGTGTCTAATAAAATTAGGTAGAATTAATACAATTTTGTACACTGATATATTTGACAAAGTTTAAGAATGTATAATTATTGGGTTAGGTTACCAGTTAACAGGTTAAAATAAAATATAAATTTTAGCTAAAATATCGACCAGTTGTGCTAAGGTCAAAATATATTTTTTAGTAATCAGTTGAAAGGATTTTCGTCTAAATCTGAAGACTGAGATGATGAAGGCAATTTTGTTGTCAATTAATTCCATAAATCCAATATGGAAAAGCAACTCTGAAACGTCAGGATTTTAAATTTATAAAATTCCCCCCTCTTGCCTACTTTTCTTTTTAAATTTTAAAGTCTTGCTCATCTTGCATCTAAAGCAACCATCCATTTTTCTGGAGAAAGATGCTGGTTCTGAAGGAGACGCCAGAGTAGTAACTCAAAAAGTTATGAGAAAATAATATACTTTTTTTTCGGATAATACTTCGACAACGAATATGATCCAACGATTCCCTTTGAGCCAATTATACCATTACTGTAATACATTCTGTTATTTTTCAGTACGGGTCTTAAACGAAATTGAAGAACCATTCTCCCAGAAAGAGAATGAGTTTTGAAAAACACCAAAGTAGTAAAGTATGAATAGACTCCTTGACATGCTTGACCATAGAATTATTAGGATATAAAGAACACATGTACATTGACAATAAAAATTTAGTTTTATCACCTATCATACAAATTGACTTAGGGGAAATACTCAAATTTGTCAGTCTGAATATATCTTAAATAATGATCTAGATAATCTCTATATTGACATATATAAATCATATACCCTTATATAATGGTATAAAAAAAATCCCTTTGAATACGTATACTAGGGATTTTATAAAATAGTGAGATTAGATCTCCTGTGTTGACTTGATACTGAAGAAACAAACTTTGTAGACGAATTGTATTGTTTTAAAATAATAACAAATCACCAAGATCTGGCCATTTCAGTCCCATTTTGGGATGGATATTTTTTTTTGCTAGATAGAAACGGTATATTTTCGTGGGACATGCTGCATATTTAATCAGAGGAAAGTCCACTGTATCAATTTAATAGTCATGTTATAATGTTTCGTAATAAGTGCGAAAAATCCAAAAGCTCTATTGTATTCATGAAAAGAAACGGTAGTTAATTGTCTTACATGTCTTTATGCAATTTTTTAATTCAATGGCGAAGCAACAATATAAACGATATTTCATGTCGATTAATTCGACATATTTTAAACAATTGTGTAATGTATATTAATCTGGATGAAGTTTCTATTAAACGACTAATAGACCTAGAATGTTGTTGTATACTTTTAGAATAACAGTTTAAAACATTAGTGAAATGCTTTACATACCTTTGACCGTCGGGCGAGTCTCTGACGAGCTTGACAGCAAAGAGAAATTGGACTGAGCAAACTAGCAAACAGCATAAGTTCAGAGAAAGAGAAAAGGCACAGAGTGCGAGAGTCACTTCATACACTAACACATACTCGTCCGGAGATATCACAGTTACTTGGTCCGACCTTAGAAAGTCTTTGACGTCGGAAGCGGTCACCGGTGAGATTTTCAGCATGAATACAAGAGACAGCAAGGCTAGGAGTAGAGACACGAGACAGAGCAGTCCGAGCGAAGTGAGCATCTCTTTGACGCCCGGCGACCTCTCTAACGCGACCCTCGATGAAACTGGCAGACTGGGCGGAGGGTTACTTGCCACTCTAGATATATTCAGTCCTCCGTTAGATATCCTTCCATGGTTGGAAGCGTTGGCAGCTTCCAAGGGGCTGACCCGACTCGAATTGCCGCCGAGGGAATATTTCGAATTGCTTAAAGTCGATATATTCAATCCTTGGGTGTTGGCGTAGGTCTGTACCAGCCTCGGGTTCACCGCTTCGACGTACGGTGTCTGAGAAGGCCTCGAGATGTTCAAACCACCATTGGCGATGCCCAGAGGACTAACACTAGCAGATGTCCCACCGACCGAATGTTTCGAATTGCTCAAAGTAGACGAGTTCGAATAAGGGTTGCCTAGATTGTACGGCCTGCTGTAACTTGTATTGCCGTGATAAGAATGATTGAGCACTGGCGGCGGTTCTCGATAAATCGTCCTCACACTGCCGTTAGGCTGCCGTTGGTGATCGAAGCCTCTCGGGTCTTGTGATATGTGTCGGCCCAATCCACTGCTTGCGGTTACAGTGTGTTTTAACATGACTTCAGGGTCCGGGGCTCAGGGAATTGCTCGTGAACCACAGCTCCATTTTTGCTACGTTCTTCGATCCATTTTGTATTCTTTCCTTAATAATTTATCGGAAACGTTCCTCAAAGAGTCCGTCTGCGAGGTTGACATCTTCATTGTTTGGCAAATATTCTTTCACATCACGCGTGAACCGTTTCTAACACATCATCAAACGGAGGATCTGAAACGTAATAATCCTAATTAAACATCAATAAAACAAAAGAATCGACAATGGACAACTGGTTTATTGTCAAACTGTGCTGATATGTGAGAAATTCCTGATAAGCTCAGACAGGTCAACCAGAAAATAAATCAATTCAAACAAAGTCCAAAGGCCTGTAATGATCAAAAACTGTTTTTGATTAAATTATTTTATACTCAGTGGAACAGAATTGGAAAGTGGCATGCAACAATTTTTGCCGCTTCACCGATAAAAAAAAGCCAAACGGTCCACACGCATCATTGGGTAGAAGAATCTACTGGAAAATATTTGAAAATTTTTCATGGTCTAGGATCTACGGACCTAAAGGAATATAGTAATTAATAAGGACTGTAGTTTGGTCTTTTTTTATCTACCTTTCCTAGCTGGTTTGCTCTGTCATTTAGGTTTTTCATCATCTTCAGTAGGCCTGTAAAAATAAAGATGTTTGTAATCGTGAGGAAACTTGCTTACTTTCTTGCCAAAAATTAGCTACTCTGTAGATCAAAGCAATTTAGGATTTTTAGTGTAAATCTTTAGTAAACAATTTCAATAGGATGGTTAATAGTTATTCAGCCCCAATTGCTTTTTCTGTAGGTAACAACAACAAAGGTTTCAGTCTTTTTTCAAGCATTAACTCATTTAAATCAGCTTTTGTTGTGATAAATTGTGTTAAGGTCTACTGTTCAACCTTTGTGTGTACCAGAAAATGAAGATAGCAACACGACGAAACTAACGAGAATAGGCGGACCTGTTCGTCGTATGAAATTGCCAAAATGTGAAATTTCCTCCTTTTGTCTGCTCTGTTGTTCAACCTGGTCGGCCTATCCTCGCTGATTTTTGTTAGTTTAAGACGCGTTTCGGTATTTCGCCATCTTCAGTGTGGCGTGTTCGGGGTGATTATATTACCTTTTTTTTTTTAGTTTACGCTGGCATATTACCCATGAAGTTTTCTATTTTCATTTTACTGTCGAACGTGATCGGCCGACCAGGGCCAGGTCCCCGCCGCGCGCCGCACCACTCATTCAGCTCCATCATCTTCTCATCTTCTAAATTTTCATGCTTGAATATAATCAAAAAGAAACGTTTATCGACTTTAGAAATCCATAGATTATGTCGAAAGCTGATGGATTGTTGCTTATTAGGACAGATTCTAAGTTTATTGGTTTGGAAATGTTTGGGACTTTGCTCAGATTTTTTAGCAGTTTGTCTCTTTCATTTTCATATTCTGGACAATCCAAAATTATGTGGGAAGGATTCAAGTGGGACAGTTCGGAGACGATGCCAAACCGATTCTCTTCTTGTAGCTACCCCATAGGCCATGATTGCCTCCTTTGCAAGTGCGCCCACCGTTTCATTTTGCTATAAGCCTGCATGCCCTTTCGCCCAACACAATGCCACCCTTTTTTCCCATGATTTTTGTCTCCAGCATTTTCCTACAGATTTGGGCAAAAATATAGTTTCTGCATTTATATTCTGGGCTAATGTTATTTATCCTTTCTACAATGCTTCTGTGAGGATACAAAATTTAGAATCACCCAATTTTCGTATGTAATCGAGAGCGCTATCTATCGCAATTAGTTCTGCTGTATAAACAGACATTATATTACCTTCATCACCACTCCACAGATATCACCCAAACGAAACACGTCTGAGTTAAAGAAAATCAGCGATCAGGATAACAAAATATTGTTAAGATTATATTTTCGTTCCATTCCACGAGCAAAGTGATGCCAAAGTATATCAATTTTGGCCGATTAGCCAACAAAACTTCATACTATTTCTTCCTTGGCCACTTTATGTGGCGACATGTAGAAGTGCAGACAAAACCAGGTACTACTCACAGTACCATCGGCTTATTGTGTTGAATAAGATTTAAATTTATTTATTTTACCATGTCGCTTTCTTTTGGGCAGAGACCCTGACAATTGACCAGTCATTAAGATCAATGAACTGCACTAAGCATGAATAAAGCTTTTGTGTTCAACTGGTGAGAAATTCAAGTGCTTCTCATTAAACAGACGAATGAAGCCGTTCAAAATGACTAAATATAAAGATTCGTTAATTATTGTTAGAAATTAATCCTCCATTAAGTAATTTCTCAACCAAAAATCTTAGATGAAAATAATAATTAATTGGAATGGTTAGAAATGTAAACCTATTTTTAAAAAATTTAGCGTGACACAGTTAATAAAACTTAAACTTTAATTATTCTTTGTATGTAAGGTGTTGGATGAAATGAAAAAGTTAGTGTCACGAGCGGGGTACGAACCCACGACCTTCGGCTACGCACGGTGGGTTCGAATCCCGCACGTGACACTAACTTTTTCATCTCAACCAAGTCTTTACATACAAAGAATAATTAATTGAAAGAAGTAATTTCGGGACCACTAATATTCTACTTACTCGAGAAAGCTTTCAACATTATAAAAGAAAACAGTGGAAATTTTTAATGATAAGTAGTCTCTACCTTTCTAATTTAAAAACTTCTAATTCAAAAGTCAATTCATCCAATTAGCTTTCGAGCTGTTCAAAATATTTGAGGGATGAGTTCTGTTTTAACAGGACAGGTACTGAATTCGAATATGATCAGCTCTGATCATAAGGATAAAAACAAACTTTAGGACGCAAAACAGACGGAGGCATCAATGTAAATGAACAAGATGATCTTGCAAAAGTGGATATTAATTCGTACCATTTTGTACAATTGGAATATACAATATCAAATATGTTGTTAAAACAAAATATATGAAAAGTACTAAGTAATATTATTATAAGAAGAAGCATAGCATCATAAGCTTTCTTTTACGACACTGAAGATTCGGCGACTGTCTGTAGAAAACTGGTTTAGTTTCTGCAAATAAGGAGGAAGTCATTAACAAGAAAAAATGGTTAAGATCCTAACCATGGTCCTAACCATCCCTAATTTAACGATCTGCAGAGTTGGCAGCGTGTGAATTAAATAATTAATTATGTCATTTATCATATCTCTTTAATATATGTTCCTATTATTTGTTTATTAATTAAATTACACGTGATGAGACTCCTATGTAATTCCCGTGTAATAGCCTTGAATCTGCAGAGATTGTCCAAAATGGCGGAAAAACATAAAACAAGGGGGAAATATTGTAGAATATTATTGTTATTCTTGCATGCGTGCATGTCAATATTATTTGTACTCATAAGCAAGTACGGTTTCGCGCCAAAACATTACCGGCATGTCCTTGGCTGCTGAAACCGGTTTATCCGTGGTGTTGCCCGGTCAATAGTTAAATTCTAGCCGGGGCAGATGCTTTCTGAACTTTCAAAAACTTTTTTGTCAAATCTCCCTAAGACGGTTGAATGACTCTTGAGCATTTCTGTTGAGAAGTAGTGTATCATAAACAAAGTTTTAGATTTTATAAAACGAACCGAACTATTTTTTTTTCTGTTGTAGATCAATTTTTATGTAATATCAAGGAAAAAAACTATTATGTACATATAATAAAAGAAGGAGAAAGCTTCCTAATTGCACGGATTGTGTTTGGCTGAATGTATCCTGTCAATTTCACACACACGTCCCCCTAGTACAATGATGTCGGAGGGTGTCACGTACTTTCCGTACCCGGGTACGAGGCTATTGCCCAAAACGGGTAAAATTCCAACAAGGGTGTGACTTCATAGATATTAAAGTCTGGGAATCAGGGCGTGTTCGAGGTTGGCTGAGGGGGGTGGGTACACGCCCTAACGAATTCGTCGAGCCTCGACCTCAACTTCGAACCTGAGGCCGTTGGTCGCCCATCTATGAAGGCGCGCCCTGGTCGGTACCGAGTATTAACGTAACGTAAGACGTACTGCCTACCTCAATAATATTTAGCTGTAACTGATACATTACAGGTGAATCATGATGATTTACCTGTTTTGAATGATAAACGGATTGCCTGCGATAACTCGTTATAGAGCAATTGATCCATAATTTACAATCTTGCGGATGATTTCATGAGCTCCCAACCCAGCAAAAAGCCTTAATTACTCTCCAACATCAGCAAAATCTAACAAAATTTATATATTTGCGCGTTTTACTATCAAAATATCTTACAAATCGGCAGTTAGTTGTATTGAATAAACAGTACATGGGTAAAATATGATCAATTCAGGTTAAAAATTAATTAATATCCCTATTCGGCAGTCATCGAACTTAAAATTACGAAATAATTGAGATAAATAGAATACAACAAAAATTATAACTATTGGAAAGTGTAGAAGATTACAATGTAATGGAAAATAATTAAGAAAAGTCACCACTAGTGGTCTGTGGTGTTTTAAAAACTGGCCTACTCTCATCCGAAAAAGTCTTAATGTACTGCAGTGAGTATTGGCAAAACCTATTTGTAGATCTAAGTGTGGTGAATGGATATAACCTAATTCTGCCTCTCACACATTCCTTGTCTTACAATTACGTAATGTATTTATTAGCGAGAATGTTGATTGAAAGAGTTGAATGAAAACAGTCCTCTCGACGAAGTATGCAAATATCACGACGACCTGGGTTTTAGTTACTGGTGGTATAAATGAGGAGTGACAATTGGCGGACCCCTGTGCGTCTTCAATTGTAAATAGTTTAGAATATTTATTTAGAAATCGTGAGATGCGGTCTGGTGTGATGTAGGTTTCAGAAAAACATTTTCTTTATCGTGCCAACGTTTCGATCTTTATTGAGATCATCTTCAGGGCTCAAAGTGTTTGTCTTCTGTGTAATTGTGTCATTCTTGCGGGTCGTGTCGAGAGGGGCACTCTCGACACGACACTCAAGACAAACACTTTGAGCCCTGAAGATGATCTCAATAAAGATCGAAACGTTGGCACGATAAAGAAAATGTTTTTCTGAAACCTACATCACACCAGACCGCATCTCACGATTTCTAAATAAATATCGATTAACGGTCACTAATCACCACACATAGTTTAGAATGTATGCATATATTAGAAAGATTGACGAATGACTTTATTTATCTAGGGTATACATGGCTCTTTAGGCTATAGAATTTCATGTGAATGATGATCGGTTACCACTGGAATATGCTTCACCATGGTAGCCCATAATGATTGATAATGAATAATATAGTCGTGCAAAAATTGATGTGATATGTGAAAGGTGCTAGGGAAATGTTCCAGGTTTAAGAAGATAAAATATGCAGGGGAGAATAATGAAGACGAGTAAAAAACCTTGAATGAGAGCCGAGTGTGACCTTGCTGCTTAAAAAAAGGAAAAAAGGTAAGTGTATAAAATAATTTTAGATCAATCTTTATCTGCTTATCTGGTTTATTGTATCTAAATGACACCAAATACAATAAAATAGTGAAAGTGAACTGATTAAAAAATGGAAATTTGGTCTGGAGGAGAAAAAAGGGATTTTAAAAAACAACAACTTAGTAAATAGTTTACTTACTTCTCTAATTACTGCTGGCAATAAGGTTTAAAGCAATCTAGACAAAACAGAATATGTAAACATCTTAAAGTATTTGAAGAAAGAAGAAAATTATACGCGCAGCATTTACGTAGATGGAAGCTAACGTTATGAAAACGTAGGATTAGCAGTGGTATGTATATGGAAAAAGTAAGAAACATAACGCGTTATATAAGAAGAAAAGAGATCGGCTTGCTTCATCGCAAAAAAAAAAAAATGGAAAGTGGTATTCAGCTGGGTTATATACGAGCAATAAGAAACGTACTTTACCAATTGACAAACAAAACAACTTAGAGCTGGAGAAATTCAAATATTAAACATCTAGTAAGCTAAATTGCTGGACGAACAATGGACAAAATATACAATAGAAAGAAATAAGTAGTTCAAAAGGGGCAACAACCAAAAAACATCTTTCCATCCCGATTCAACCATAAAATGACCCATGTTCTGAGTACCCATGGAAAAGTAGTTAAACATTTCGGACCTAGTAATGCTCAATTGTTGATTGCTTTTTAATCACCAAAATTATTTAGCCATCTGCTTATTGTTTACAAGATTGCAGGCATATATAGAAATGTACTATGACTATTTCACGCATACGGTAATATAAAGGAACACGGTGTAGGAGAAAAATGACTAAATAAAAAATTATAATAAACATTTCCTCAATGTAAATATGCAAATGTTGCACATATCTATGTATCTGCAAATTGCATGTTGAAATAAAAAAATCTTAAATAATTTGCTAAAGAGAAGAATGTTCCAATGACTTTTCTCTGCTTAATTACATATTCGTACTGAAAAGAAAATGTTTTCTATTTAATTTATGAAATTTACTTGCTCTTGTAAAATTTTGTGAACAACCAGTACTTCTTTGTTTCGTGTATCTGTTTAATTATTATGCTAAGTATGATTTTTGAAAGAAGGCGGATGAATCATACTTCTAAGTTAATAAGGGCCAAGATTTCTGATCTTTATTTTATTCTACTTTTTTTTTTGCTAGAGATAATTATTGCCTATTGAAACTATTTACACCGTACACGAATTTTTCGGTCTTCGCCTTCCAACGTCGAGCGCTCGGACGACCTGGAAGATTAGCAGGGACTGCATATTTGTCGAAAAAAAGGTCGAGACCCTAGAGATTCTTTTACCTGCTGGAAGGCGGCCCCGGTCTCTTTTCTCCACACGGCTCGGAGAAATGATCAGGTGTATAGCAGTAAACATATTTGTCCGTTGAACCCATTCCATACAAGAAGATTAAAGGTCGAATTAACAAAAATTGTAAATAAATAATTTTTATATACGCTAAAACAATTTAAAAAAATCAAACAAGGTAAGCTAAGTAAACATGTTAAGAAAAAAAGATTTAAATTTTTCCAGAAAAGAAAACTATTTTTGTTTAACATGCGAAAATTAAATCAATATATATATACATATAAATACAGAAGAAACGCCGGTGATTTTAATGGGTGGGACCGCAGTGGCTAAAGTTGTTTGGCAACCCGAATGGCATTTTCTTCCTCTTTGGAATGCCATTTCAAGTACTTACCTAATAACTCGCTAATTACAAAAAAATCCAGTTTATACATTGATACAGTTGAGTTTGGATTATTTTGGCCAATTAATGCTATTTATTTGTTATTCATGCACTGGGTACTCAGTAATTAATTGAAATAAATAAACATTTGCTTGTAAATGTTTACAGCATTGTAAGATGAAAATACGAATAAATTATAATATATTTATTTATTTTTTTATCGTGTATTCAGACACTAGATCGCAATTTGGCTCTTTAAAAAACTGGTTGTTTCCAAATCCGACCTTTGCAGTTAAAAATAACTTGTAAAAAAAAGTATAAAGATTACAACATTAACAACTTGTTATTTACATTTATAGAGTGTTACTATCTTTTCCTCTCTTTAGATTAAAAATAAACATAATCAGTTCAATTTCATCCTGTCAACATCTTAGTTGTCGAATGTGTTAATTGGTTTTTTAAATTATTTTCCTTGATGAAACAATAAATTTGAGTCAAAATTTTATCAATGTTTTCCTTTGTAAAAGCATGGCTTTAAGTCGAGTAGATCTCGCCCAGGCAGATGATTTGGCCAATGACAGACGTCCGTTACGTAGTTCAAATCGGGGGTATCCGCGTTCTACCATTCAAGATGGACAAAGAGGATCAGTTTAGGAATATGGGGAATCTCGATCGAAGAGAAGGTAGTAGCCGATCTCAGTGTACGACGGCTAGAGACGATGTTTTATTGATCTTACCGAACAACAGAAGTGTCATTTAACAGCTTCCTTCGTAGTCAACTTCGAACTGTCCGTAACATAAGCATGAGAATAGCTTAGTCTCTAGATGTTCCGTATTAGGTTCTCTACTACTGGAGAAGCTTCGAGTAGAATGACGACAATTCGCGCAAAAATGGGGGGGGGGACTGTCATGATGTCATGAGTGCCGGTTTGGTTTGTAGCAACCGTAGAGAAGAGGTGGAGAACGCTTTGCTTCATGTGCCATGCCTGAGCCACAGCCTTTTCAAAGACAAGTCAGTATGGCATGGGGTAGAATCAATGTCCTTGCCCCTACTGACTATCGTACAGAATGAACCTTGGACTGCACTAATGTTCATTGAGGAAGTCCATCTGGAAGCTGTGGTTCTATTCTATTCTGGGGTATACGTATGATATGCTCAATCGCATGTAGCTCGAGTTGTCAACCATTACTTGGAGAACGGAGGGATTATCAGAATGAATTGGCCAGCACGTTCTCCTGACATGAATCCTACGGAACACTTATTGAATATATAAACAACTTATAACGGGACTAGGGGACTTATAAAGAGACGGGTTAAACATCGTTTGCCGCCTCCAATAAGCGTTGAAAAGCTCCAAATCTGTCTAGTTGAAAAAGAGGCTTTTGTTTCACAAGACGAAATCCGATTTCTTATTTACTCAACGACTTAGTGACTTAATTAAGTCTTCATCAAGTGATCTCAACTGATATTGGAACCCGATGGTATATTTCTTCCTTGGCCTCGTCTCGGAGGTTCAAAGGTACTGCTTCTGTAACCTGGAGGTATCTCGCGGATTAAACACTGAAGTGATGTACACTGTAGNGCTTAGGCATCGTTCGCCGCATCCAACAAGCATTGAACACCTTCAAATCGCTCTTGTTAAAGAATTGGATTCGGTTTTACCCCGCTTAAGACCGTCCGCGAGGCCAGAGTGATACGCATTATTCAGAGCAAAACAGTAAAAAAATTGTTAGTAAAATTTTAAACTCTAAATGATATTCTTCAAGTATGCTGTAATTAATGTAACGATAAAAATATATATAGTTTGAAGTAAACAACTAAATACGAGTGTCCGGTTTTTCGCGTGTGTATATTTAGTTTTGCGTCGATTTTTCTGGAAGAAACTAAACGAGCGAGATCGTGACGGGTAATTGGACCACTGGAGGCTCGGAACGAAGTAGCCTGGCTTCGTAGCTAGTTTGTTTGTAATTGCTCGAAATTCCGACAACAGATCAATGCAACCGTCAGAATAAAACAACGGCTTAAACATCAAAGAAAACTTCTTTTATTTTTGTTCGACATATTTATTTCCAATTTTTATTCTTTTTAATCAATTAATACCGAAGCGTTATAATTTCTGTCTGGCCGTTTACGATCTGACCCGTATACCCTCCATGGTTTGGACTATTATTACATCTTTAGAGGTGGGTTTGTGTCAAAGATGTGTACACCATCATGCCGAACTTCCCAAACGATGATATTAGTATGTTAATGTGTTTTTATTTTACACATAATTTTACCAGTACTTTAATATAAACGTTAACCATCTACCAGGCTGGAATATCAACCTCATTTTTCCTTCTGTCAACGTTTTCAGCAAAAAGTGATTTTTTGTTTATTTCGGAACTCGGTCCTCACCGCCAATCATTGGAACCATCTTTAAAGAATGAAATAAGCAGACAATCAGAAAACAAAAATTTGCAAAGGAAAATCATAATAGCAGAATACGAATAAAAAAGTCAACAAGTTTTTCTATGATTCGAATTAACAAGGTTGTAGACACGGAATGTGACAGGAAACCAACCGAAGTTTCAAATTTCTATAGGTCTATTATATTTCCTCTATTATTTGCAAATTCCACGTTTCCCACCACCCTGATCTGTCAATTCTCGTGGTGTGTTTGTAACTTTTCTACAAGTTGATTAAGTAATAAATTTATTACATTTTGTCTAGAACAGAGAGGTCAATTTGTCTTGGTAATTCTAGGAAATTTCTCTAGAACCGAGGGGAGAATGGACAGCCAGGATGATGAGAAACGATATCGGTTTAACATTAAGCATACCTCAATACTATATTTCAAACACCCAACGATCTCGGATTCTGCAAATAAAGGAGAAAATATACGAGTCTTACAGAAATTTGAAACTTCCGGTCATTCTTTTAACATTCAGGGTCTACAAACCTTGCCAATTCTATTTTATTAACTATTCGAACTTTTAGGTAGTAATACCAAGGTTATTACATTTGTGAGATAGCTTGTTGAGGACTTGAAGAACTGGACAACCAGGATGATGAGAAACGACCAAAATGTTGATTCAACATCAAGCAGGCCTCAGATAGAGAAAAAAAGCAAGTAAATCAGCTGGAAGTTAACATGGATCCACACTTTTAGGACCATGCACGACACTCCATTACACAATATTAAAAAAAATCCCTTGGACTTTCTTCTCAAACGTATGAAGGAATTGTTAGGAAGTGTGGAGGAGGTTGAATGACAAGATTATCGTGGGTGTAAAGGGCGGAGTAGGATTTCTTGCTAGGTCTTGAACAAATGGAATGTTGAGATTTGTGTGGCTGATGTTAGATATATAAAAAGGCGCATTGACATTTTTTTATGAATGGAAAGATTTATATCTTTGGATGTTGGAGCGTTTGTCAATGTGCTTATATCTGTAAGTCCATACGGTTTTTACTTTTATTTTCAGTGGTTTATGGATTAAGGATAGTTCAGATCGTCGGTTCAGTAATGCCGATAGTAATTTGTAACTTTGAAGATGACGGAATGCCGAAATGCGTGTAATAGACGAAAAGCGAGAAAAGGCGGACCATGGCCGGAAACGTGCTAATATAAGCTCATCTCCCGGCAGACCACAAGAGAAAATCTCACAATTAAATTTAAAGGTTACAATCAATTTCCTCCATTATCTGAAGTTTCCTAGGTTCCCACCATCTCAGTCTTCCCATTCTCGCTGTATACGTGTAACAAGGTAATATTTGATCTTTTCTCGTGATTCAAGGTAATTAATTAATAATTTTTATTAAATGTATGATATATTTGTTGAAATTTAATTTAAAAAATGAAAAGCGGTCCAGTATGAGGAGAAACGACAAAGTTCAAGTTCATCACTTAGCAAATTATAAGTGAAATATAAGATGACTTCAAAATTTAAATCGTGTTCTTATTTCAACAACAAAAATTTTTTTTACGGAAAAGCGGTCCAGGATGGTCAGAAACGACCAAATTTCAAGTTCATCTCTTAGCAGACTATAAAGCGAAATCAAAAATGACTTCAAAATTTAAATTTTCTTTCTATTTCAAAAATTATTTAAAGGATAAACGATCCAGGATGACGAGAAACGACCAAATTATCAGTTCATCTCCTAGCAGGCTCTAAGGAGAAATCACAAATGACTTCAAAATTTAAATTGTCTTTCTATTTCAAAAATTATTTTAAGGATAAACGATCCAGGATGACGACAAACGACCAAATTATCAGTCATCACCTAGCAGGCTCTAAGGAGAAATCAAAAATGACTTCAAAATTTAAATTGTCTTTCTATTTCAAAAATTATTTTAAGGATAAGCGATTCAGGATGACGACAAACGACCAAATTGTCGGTTCATCACGTAGGAGACTGTAAGAATAAATCAAAAATGACTTCAAAAGTGACTTATTTAAATTGTTTTTCTATTTCAATGCCAAAAATTTATTGTAAGGAAAAGCGATCCAGGATGATGACAAAAGACCAAATTATCGGTTCATTACCTAGCAGACTGTAATGATAAATAAAAATGACTTCATTGTTTTTTTATTCATATGCAAAAATTTATTTTACATAAAAAACGATCCAGTATGATGAGAAATGACCTAATGTCAATGTTCATCACTTAGCAAACTATAAAGAGAAATCAAAAATGACTTCAAAAAGGACTTGTGTAATTTTTTCTCTATTTATTCGTGTATTAATCGATAATTTAAGTTAATTTATTATATTATTAAAAAAAACTATTGGTTGGACACTAAAAACTGCAAAGTGGATAGCATAAACCAATTTCTATAATTTAAATAACACATCGACTGAAAAAAAATTGTTATGCAAATAAGACGATCATATCGCAACAGGTTACGGTTTTTATGGTACATTTACGGTTGTTTTGTCACGGTCTACATGAACTAAATAATTCACGCGTGAGACCACCGGCTTCCGCCTAGGTCAGATATTACTAGGTAGTTGACTCACGAAATATCAAGGATCGCCAAGGTAATCCTCCCATGCTCTTGAGTAACCAGTATAGAATTTTGTTGGCTTTTCTTCTTTCTTGTTTTGCATTTTAATTTTTAACTCCTGGATTGAAATTGGGTAAAACAGGTTTGAAATATAGAATCTATGGAAGGAGATGGTTCAGCAGATTTTTAAATATTAAAAGTTTCAGATTAAAATCTCTTATTTATTTGGTGCAAAGGTTTGAGTTATATCTCCTGAAAATAATTATTAAATAATAAGCATGAAAATTGAATCAAAGATTCAAATTTTCTTCAGTAGCCTGAACTACCATCTTCTGTGTATGGTTTCGATCCTGGTTTGTTTTCTTTTGCCGATGCGAAGAGATAGCGTTATAAACAAGATCTGAGAACGTTCCTAGCTGATTAGATCCCGCGATATTTAACGGTTGTTCGTTTATTCCTGGACGTGGAGTACATCAAGAACCCAATGCCGTTACAAGATGAACGGCTCTCGAGATGGAGGGGAACCGAGAATTGACACGGTGTAACCAACTGAAATGCAGACGGTGTGGCAACGGCTAATCGGAGCAGGTGGTATAACCGACAACCTCTTCCGCCTTTAACTTTAAACAGTCTAATCGTCGTTATACACGATATACCGTTGATAATAATTTAAAAAATAAAATAATCAGGACATGTAACAGTCTTCAGTACTGTCATTACTGTGATAAGAAGAAAACAGTTTTTATAACAAGTGCTTGATATAAACGTGTAATTATTCGAAAGTCCACGGTTATGGTGAAAGCATCACTAATGTGGACATCATGGAAGTCATTTTTTCTGTAAATTTTTTCCAATTTTTGTTTAAAAACAATATCTAAAATCCATCCGATGTTTATATTTATTGGTTTTTACGTCGAACCGAGTTCCAGTTATCGCGGGGCGAGGATTGAAACCAATAAGATATTTGTAAATTAGCATACAGAATTCCAAGGGCACTCCAGGAATGGAATCCAGTGCCGCGTACGTGAATGCGAGAGAGATTCGGCTACCCCGGGCTCCCCTTGAATACACAATAAAATATAACCCCCCCCCCCCCAAGTATTAAATAGTTTTACCAATAAACAGACAAAATTTCTCTAAGGTTACAATTCAACACAAAATTTTATATTAAGAATAAGCCTAGTCAATTTTTCAAACTATCACACTGATTTACCTACTTTGGGAAAGTTTGTCAGGATACAAAAATTTCTCTTATACAGTGAAGAAACCAAGCACCACCATACGTTATTAACTTATTACAATAAAATAACATAAACAACATAAAAAAATGATCTAACAGATTGATTTAAATCGTGAGATTTCCTCTTGGGGTCTGCTGAGTGAGTGATGGAACTAGCAGGTATACCTTTTCCGATCATTTTGGACGTATGTCCTCGCTGTTTTGGTGAAGATGACGAAAAAAGGCAAGCCAAAAGAATAGAAAACATCAAATTATTATAAATCTTAAAAATATGTTCAAAACTTAAATTAATGTACAACCAAGCAGGAATATGATTAATTTCGAATAAACTACGAGTCATATACTTATATAATATTTATTTTAAATAGAGTAAAGGTTATGAAAAATATAAATACCACGAATGCAAGATATTTTGTGAATAAACATTTATTTATTTCGTGCAAGCGCGTTAAATTTGATTTTAATAGTTTTACATCACTTTATAGTTAATGGAATTTTTAAATATGATTTATCAAATCTACGCTTACCGACATGATAATGTCAAATAGTTAATTTAATCGATTTTCCCCAATATTTCATAGCTTGAAAATTTTAGGTTCACGCTGTTTATCAACTTGAACGATTTATTTACATCAATGGTCTAGGTCACTTTGAAAAAGGCTTAAGTAAAAATTTGACACCTTTGTGTCAAAGGTTGATAGTTGTCAATTAATAAATGTGTTTGTTTTGTAATAAAATCGGTCAAGTTCAGATCACGTGTTAATGGAGTAAAAAGCGTCTCACCTGTAGTACGTAATCCAAGAGAGGTTGGTGCCAGACTGCTCAGGGTCGAACCTGAGTGGAACCTGAACGGCCTAACGGGCGACCCCACTCCCTAAAGAGGCTCGGCCAATCTATTCAACACTCTTACGAACTCTTATTTAAGAGTTTTATTACGAACGGTCGTACACAAGGCTAGGAGATTAAAGGAGATGAACGAGGACAATCGGTTTCTCACTGCGTACGACGTGGCAACGGGCTCAGGGCAATGTGCTTAGACCGCGAAAAACTGCGCAAATCTTGGGGTTTTGAGTTTACCAGATTTGGCAAGCAAGGCGAGACCTTACGGGTAGGAGTGGCACACGGTAACACATCATACTTCAACCAGAGGAGATTACTAACATTCAGTTTATTTTCAACTTTTTTTAAAATTTTATTTAAAAGCGCATAAATCAAAAGAAAATGTAACTTAGACGCGTAATATAAAGAAATAATAATCTAGTTCCAAGAATGCTGACAAGCGAAGGGGTTAACCCTCTCTTCGTATAAAACTCGAGAGGTCAAACCGCTGAGAATTCTCAATAGGAGAACAGCCAATACAGCTTTTACAAATTATTAAACTCATTAGTTAAACAAAAAACTATCTGGAAGTCCCTGTTCATTTCTCCTTATAGTCTGCTGGGTGATGAACTGATAATTTGGTCGTATCTCATCATCCAGGATCGCTTTTCCTTAAAATAAATTTTTGGCATTTAAACAGAAAAACCATTTAAATAAGTCACTTTTGAAGTCATTTTTTATTTTGCCTTTTAGTCTCCTAGGAGACGAACTGATAATTTGGTCGTTTTTCGTCACCCTGGATCGCTTATCCTTAAAATAATGTTTTGATTTAAGTAGAAAAACAATTTAAATAAGTCACTTTCGAACTCATTTTTAATTTAGCCTTAAAGTCTCCTAGGTGATGACCTTGAAATTTGGTCGTTTCTGACCATCCTGGATTGCTTTTCCTTAAAATAAATTGTTGTTATTGAAATAGGAACACAATTTAAATTTTGAAGTTATTTTTAATTTCTTCTTATAGTCTTCTAGGTGATGAACTGATTTTGGTCGTTTCTCGTCATCCTGGATTGCTTTTCCTTAAAATAAATTGTTGTTATTGAAATAGGAACACAATTTAAATTTTGAAGTTATTTTTGATTTCTTCTTATAGTCTCCCAGGTGCTGAACTGATTATTTGGTCGTTTCTCGTCATCCTGGATGGCTTATCCTTAAAACAATTTTTTGATTTAATTAGAAAAACAATTTAAATAAGTCACTTTGGAGTCATTTTTTATTTTGCCTTTTAGTTTCCTAGGAGACGAACTGATAATTNCACATCCCCTCACACTACTCTCTCATATCCCTAGATGTTTCATCATTGTTTACCAACATCCCAATAGACACAACACTAAACATTATTAAAGATAAATGGACCAACAGTTTCTCTGAAACCTACATCACACCCGACCGCATCTCACGATATCTGAATTACTAATAATGAGGAAAATTGAATATAACCTTTAAATTTAATTGTGATAGTTTTCATGACGGATGGTTCCAAAGGTTGCTGAGGAAGGTTTGGAATATGGACCGGATTAGTTCGTTGGCAAAAGGAATGCTGAGGTCTTTGTGGATAATGAGGTTAGTGACATAATAAGGTGCTTTGGCAATTTGTCTAAAGATTTTCGATTGGAAGGACTGGATGCGCTGGATATTGGAAGGCTTGTCAGTACCTCACAGTGCACTCTGTATGTTCATATTGGTCTTAGTAAAGTCTTGTACAGTGTTAGCTTTGTCATAATTGTCAAAGTCGATTTCGGTCTTAGAAGTCTTCGTAGTAGTCCAAGTCTTGTATTAAGTTTTTTTTAATATGTGGGGATTTCACGTTAATCTGCTGTCGAGATAGTCCCAGGTATTTGACCCGAGTAGAAACTGGTATGTCTTTGTTGTTGATGTACAATGAAGGGTAAGACTGCTTTTTCAGCATAAAAGTACACTGAGTGCATTTTTCTTCGTTCAGTCTTGTCCGCAATTTTTAGACCAGTTTTCGATAAGCTCAAGGTGTACCTGGATTTTGGAGGTAGTTTGGACAGGATTCGAATCAGAGGATCAGGAGTGCGTCTATTATCACCACAGTAGTGTCAGGGTGTATTGGTAGGTCAGCAGTATAAATGATATATAGGATAGGACCAAAGATACTACCTTGTGTTACACCGGCCTGTATCTGTTTGACGTCCGAGAATTCATTGCCACACCTCACTCTGAAACAGCGGTCAGTTCAATAAAAGGTAATAATGAGAGGGTAGGAAGCGCTTACGTTTAAAAAGTATGCCTGGATGCCAGACCATGTCGAAAGTCTATGCTACGCAATACTTAGATCAAGTAATAGTGTGATACTTCAATTTTTCAATTTCTCTGCAAATGCAGATTTGTCTCAGTCCAAATAATCGAAAAAACAACAACTTTTGGATGAACGATTAAAATCGCTATCTCGAAATCCTTCCAAATTAAGAAACATTCCGCATAGAAGATCGAGATAGTTCAGTAAGTGCGGTTCTCAAACGAGGCTATTTAATCGGAGTAATTTTAAGAATGCCGGCTATTGTAAAGGGGGACGTCTATTATAAAAAGCTCTCGGTCGAGCCACCGAGAGGCGAGAACCGCAAAGTCATGAACTTAAAATGGATTTACTTAATCAATGTACTGAAAAGTACTTTTTCAAAAAAATATTTACCCCATTCTTGTGCAGTTGACAATTTTTACTTGGGCCAAACTTGACTGTAACGATTGGCATAATTAACGAGGCTGTCAAGTCGATTGACAAAAAAAACCGATGGTCCCCATCAACCTAGGTCACGCATTCACCAGATTCCTGTCCCAGAACGAACATACTACATATTTTTCTATCCCTACTACATATTTATCCGGTTGAGGTTTTTATTAAGTATAAAAGTAGTATACAGTTATAAAAAAAAGTATAATATTCCTTTGAGAATGCTGTGCTAACTGTACAAAGTGTTAGATGATCGACCCCTTATTTACTCACGAATAATCTGGATCTCGGTATAGTCTGGATGAAAAAACAAATTCAATTGTTACTGCCAAGATTTCGACCTTGGTCTGTAAAAAAATGTAGGTGTGGTGACCTTACAAAAGTTATTTCATTTTTCCATAATAACTAGGTATAAAGATTATGTATAATAATTATTATTAGTAATAGTATTAAGGTGATTTAAAACGTATTCACAACATTAATAACTTGTTGTTTACCTTTGTACAATGTTAGTAATACCTTTTCATTTTTTAGATTCAAAATAAACCTTTCAATTTCACCCTTCCCAGAACCAACTTGTCGGGGTGTTAATCGGTTTTTTAAATTGTTTTCTTTGATGATGATTGATTTTTGTTCTTAAAAGCGTGGTTTTGGCGAGAACACGCTTTGGCCAACGAGGTATCCTGGGTATTTCCGAGTTCTACCATTCACGATAGTCTACAGCAGTTTGGGGATACGGGGAATCTCGACCGAAGAGAAGGTAGTGGTCAATCGCAAAGACGACGGCTAGAGACGATTGTTTTATTGATATTAAAGCACAACGCAGCAGTCATTTAACGGCTTCCTTCATAGTCAACTGCAAACTGTCAGTAATGTAATGGTGAGCTCTAAAACATCAGAAAGCGTGAGAATACCTTAGTCTCTAGATGTTACGCATTAGGTTCTCTACTACTGGAGAGGCATCGAATAGAATGACAACAATTCGCGCAAAAATGGGGGTACTGTCATGATGTCATGAGTGCCGGTTTGGTTTGTAGCTGCCAGACCGGGACTGTATGTAGAAAAGAGGTGGAGAACGCTTTGCTTCGTGTGCCATGCCTGAGCCACAGCCTTTTCAAAGACAAGTCAGTATGGCAGGGGTAGAATCAACGTCCTTGATCAACTGACTAACGTACAGAATGAACCTTTGACTGCACTAAGGTTCATTGAGGAAATCCATCTGGAAGCTGTGATTCTATTCTATTCTGGGGAGAACTTCGTACGTATGATATGCTCGACCCCATGTAGCTCGAGTTGTCACCCATTACTTGGAGGACGTAGGAATTATCAGAATGAATTGGCCAGTACGTTCCCCTGACATGACTCCTACAGAACTCGTCTTGAATATATAAACGACTTATAACGGGACTAGGGGACTTATAAAGAGACGGGTTAAACATCGTTTGCCGCCTCCAATAAGCGTTGAAAAGCTCAAAATCTGTCTAGTTGAAAAAGAGGTTTTTGTTTCACAAGACGAAATCCGATGTCCTATTTACTCGACGCCTTGGTGATTTAATTAGGACTTCATCAAATGATCACAACCGTTTTTGGAACCCGATGGTATATTTCTTTCTTGGCCTCATCTCGGAGGAGGTTCAAAGGGACTGCCTTCCTAACCTGCTGTAGGTACCTTGCGGATTAAACACTGAAGTGATGTACATTACAGGATTTGTTGATGGGCGTTGGAGGGAGTTCGCCGTGATGCAAGAGAACTGGATATAATTAGGATCAAAGACGGGTTAGGTTATTGAAGGTTAGATTTATGTTACATACTCATGATTTAATGTTTGTGTGTGGAGAACGCATTGTTTCATGTGACATACGTGAGTCACAGCTTTTTTAAAGACATCAATTATGGTATGGGGTAGAATCAACGTCCATGCCCGTACCTAACGGATTATCGTACAGAATAGATATTTGACTTCACTAGGTTCATTGAGGAAGTCCTTCTTGAAGCTATAGTTCCATTCGCTCCATTTATTGGGGATAACCTGGTTCTCATGATATGCTCGACCGCAAGCAAGTAGATCGAGTTGTCACCAATTTCTTGGAAGATGTAGGGATTACCTTAGTGAATCTGACAGCACCTTCACCTGATGTATATCCTAAAGAACACTTTTCAGATGGGCGTTGGAAAGAGTTGATCGAGGTAAAAGAGAACGGGTTAGAATTAGGAGTAAAGACGGGTTAGGTTAGTTAAGGTTAGATTTAATGTTTTTACTGCGTTAGGAGAAAACATGTAAGTTTTGTCTGTATGGTAGTTAAAAGTAAACTTATAATCGAGGCTTTTACTAGATATTTAACAGTCTTTGATCATTAAAACACCTTTAAGAGCTTCTCGTGAAGTATTATCATCAAAAGAGCAATATCCGATGTCTTTAGCTTGCAAAGGTCATTTAAAATCATAATGAAAAGGGTTGGTTCTAGAATGGTTCCTAGGAGAACTACTCCTTACTACTAGCTTTTATGCTTTAAAGATGATTTGCAGCGTTTAACTGCACAAAGAGTTAGCACTGAAATGCTTTAGTGACCAGGAGTTTTTTGGTGGCCCTGACAAGGACCGGTGTTGTTTGGGAAGCGTAGCGCGTTGAGACGATGTATCGAGGTCGGAGCTGAGTGTGCTTGCCTATTGGTAGGTAGAGAGAGCAGTTGGCTGAGGTCCGGGGCCGTGAGTCGGCTGACTTCATCTGGTGAACTTGCTGCTCGTTCATTGTAACCGAACTTGACGGCCGTTCAACAGCCGAACTATTTGAACAAACGGACGACCGGCAATATAGCCGAACGCCGTCGCCCACTGTAGCCGATTTTCGTCAGTTCACGACACAGCCCAAATGGATGTAGAAGATTTGTTGCTGCTCGAAAAGTCTTAGTTTACATACATATGGAATGAAAGAAATAAACATATTGGAAGTTCCATTTCTAAAGCTATCCATGACCACAGCTTACGCTGGACATCTCTCCGATGATAGAGTGGACCACGCATGTCCCAAGAGCCTGCTCCTCAACCGCAATTATCAATTTTTCGCAATCCATCGAAATGAAAACGAAACAAAAAGGTAAGCAAAAAGCAAAGAACGGCGTTAAACAATGGTGAGCGTTTGATGTCACGTGGTTGACAGTTGAAGTCGAAGTAACCATTCGGCCGAATAGACAGGAAAATCCAACTTTATTTGGATCGGAAAGTGCTTCGGCCGTACACGGCCCAACGCGACCGAACGAATTGGTTCTAATGGACGCGTGCTCATTCGTTTCTTCGCTTTTGGATCATCCGGCCGTATTCGGCCGAAAACGGCTCCAGTGGACGGCCTACCAAGGGACTCTGGTGCAGCAGTTGGCCGAGTGCAGCGGTTTGCCTTTAGTCAAGTCGGCTATGTTGAGAAGGCAAGTTCGAGGCTAACGCTGAGAATACATTTGCCATCGTCGTAGGTGCTTCGCTGTCGATTATTGATTCGTGAGAGCTCGTCGGGTAGATGAGTCTGGAAGTGATAGGTGAGATCTCGTTGAGTAGGGGGAGATATCATTGACATCTCGTCAGGTTGACGAGACTGAAGCCAGTAGGGCAGTGCCCCTGCTTATGTATGCACTGGCTCTGCTCTGAATTGATGCAGAGTGTAGGGCGAGACCATTCCAGAAACGGTAGTGACACCTAACGTAAGTTTCCACTACAATGCTAATATGATAGCATCTAATAGCAAAAACACTAGTTTTAATTAATTAAAAAACCAAAGATTTTATTTATTTTAAATTATTTGGTTACTTTGTACGTGGTTTTGCAATGGCACTGCAAAAAGAATTCAATATGTGTTTACTAAACTCATTCAAACTTTACAACTAGTGAAATGCAAAACATGTGTTTTACAACTGGACGATTAACAATTAAAAAACAATACAAAACGTATTTCTCAGATATGTATTTATTCATTTTTGATGCGAACTTTTATCTTTAGTGTATTTTTGCAGCAATACGTCTAATTGGCAGGTTTTGAAGAAGAAAGAAGTTTCAAAGATTTCTTGCATAAATTTGCTCTCATAAAGGTGAAACGCTTGAATGTAGTTATTTACCCCTTTTTCTTTGAACAGATCTTTTAATCTTGTTTCGATGTATTGCTGCCTCTGCAAACCGTCCGGTGAGGTGAAGTTGAGATTCAGTGCAAACATGAAAATCGTGAGGGCTAATTTGTAATGTACACACTTGTACCAAATGGGCTCCCGGAACCTTTCGTAAAGAGGGAGACAATTTTTATATTCTTCAAAACTTTGTACGTGATCGTCGAAGTGTGGATCGCTTTCGTAACAAGTTGAGATCCTCGTCCTTGGCGAAGTCAGCCAGTTCTTCGCTAGAATCATCTCTGTCTCCAAATATTCGTTGTGGGGTGAAGCGAAAATATTCTCGTAGTTGTCGGTCGGCAGTGTTTTGACCGGGATGCCGTCTATGACGTTGAAGGCGTTGGACAAGATACGGTCAAATTCCTGCTTCGCTACGATTATCGCATCTACAGGTACGACTTCGTGCACAGCACAATCTTTTCTTCTTAAATTGCCCTTATCATTGAGTACTTCGAGGATTTTCATGAAACCTTCCTTGTTGGTCTCGCTTTTACAAAAGAACAACAAGAATTCCTTGTAGTTCAATTCTGAGTTAGTCACCTCGAAAACTTTCTGCATAAGCAGTTTAGATAAAATAAGATGGAGATCACCTTGCAGATCGGGAGTAAACTTCCTGTCGATCCATAGAGTTGTATCGTAGAATTGCTGTTTAGATATGATCTCGTTCTTCTCTTTGTCGATTTGTTCAAAGTGCTTTTTTAAATCCAACAGATCATCGACAGTCGGAAATGGGATATCAGTCGCAAACATAACGAAAACTTTCCAGTCTACCACGTCGACACGGCCATAGACAAAGCTGAGGATTTCGTCGATTTGTTTTTTGGAAAGTTGTTTCCACTGTTCTGGGACTTCGTTGGACCGGAAGTGTGCGTGAAGAATAGACCCGAGTGTCTCGCGCATTATACTGTTTGGAGATATATTTTGCAATTTGGTCACCAACTTTTCTAACTGGCTTATTTTGAACTTATAATCATCCGTTTCTTCCTCTATGCTCTCCGGAGGGTGCGGCGGGATATCTTGAAATAGCAAATTGCTTTTGTCGATGAAAAACTTATCGTTATCAAAAACCAACAGTGGTTGAATAGGAACTTCGTCTTCAATTGCCGCTGAGAAAATTTTCCTAATGTTACTCAACGCTTTTTGTTCTTTCTGATAACATTCTTCGATATCAGTTTCAAACTTTTCGTACAAATAATTGACAGTATTGACTGCTGCCTCGATGTCGGCAATGGCCTTCTCTTCAATCAACGCTACTATATCTACTAATCTGTCTATTTCCATTCGGACAACGTTTTGCCATTCCGTCTTGATTTTATCTTTCAATATTTGTTCGTCACTATTTTCCCGTTTTATACTTTTTGTCCTAGTACTCAATCTGCTTTCGTTTCGAGGCGATTCATAAGGGTTACCTGTAGCCCTTAGCGACTTAATGGAAACCGCGATCGACTTAGATCTCGACTGGTCAACTTTTCGTTTCATTTTTTCTTTTATTAGCTTTTTCGATGAAACCGTTTTAGTTCCTTTTCCGACAGATTGTATCGTCGAACCCAGTCGTGCTTGGGATGGTTTCTTATCAGCTGTTTGCTTCTTATCTGGATTTATTACACTGCTAAAAAAGCTCTGAAGGGATTTTATCTTCCCCCGAATCACGTTCAGTCCGGACGACAAGAAATTGCTCGAATTACTCGACGGATCGTTTACGCTCGATGTGCTTCTTTTTAGTGACATGCTATACGACTGGGAAACTTTGGATTTCTTTTTCCCAAATGGGTAATCGTCTTCTTCCAACAAAATTGGTTTGATGTCTACCTTGGGAAGGATCTTAGTATCCGGTAATAAACCCAGCATGCTTGTATAGTAGTCGACGACAATCTGCAAACTGTCCACGGTTCTGTCGATCTCGTGTTGCAAAAGTCGCAGGTAGGAATTTGTCAGTAATAAGATGTAATTTCTCACCCACTGCGTGTCCTCAAGATCGTTTTTAACTTCCAATGCTGTCAATCTTTTCTTTTCAATTAAATTTAACAGTATGTCGTTGAGTTCTTTTACTCTGAAGTGTAACTCAGCTTTGACATTCGGATCCTTACGCGTAAAAAGCTCTACAGCATTAAACATGAGTTGAAAATTGTTCACGATTTGAAGCCTTTCGTCGCTCTTTTGGATAGATTGCTTAATCATTTGGCTGACGTAATTTTTAAAAGGTAACCATTGGGATTTAATGCTTAAAACTTTGGATAGACTCTCTCTTAATTTACCCAAATAAGACTTTTCCACCTGTTCCCAAACCGAAGCCATTGCTATTTGTAGTTTGTCGGGTAGTGGCTTTTGGACGTATATGTGGGAATCGCTATTTTCAGAATCATATGTATATGAAAATGAATCGCCTTCCGTTGATTTTCCATAACGAGACCGTCCCATAAGTCTTTTGCAATCGTAATAAGCCGGAGAAGGGATGTACTGGATGTCATCGCACAAACCGTCTCTCGGTTTGACAAAATTGTCGTTTTCTCTCGCCTTTGTTACAAGTCTGCCAAACGAAACGATTGACTGTTTTATTTCTTTTGTCGGCAAATCGACATCAAGGTCGAGAATAATTTTAGAAATGAAAGCGAGGGTCTCGACGTCGAACTCCCATATGTATATTTTTGTAAATTTGTCGAATTGTTCGTATACCTGCTCACCTGTTATGTTATTCCTCAAGTAATTGGTCTTTTGACTAGTTGTTTTGCATTTTTTATAATCAAATGTTTTATTTCCATTTTTCCGAAGATTCCGGTCCGATTTAACGTAATTGTAACCTTTACAAATAGTGATGAACCTTTCGATGTATGTTTGAGAGATACCGTCTTTATTAGGCCACTCTGCTAAAGGATTGGGAAGAATTTTCGAAGTTCGAAACCGATTCAAATCCTCGTATGTCCACGGCTCGCTTGATGCTAAATATGAAACATTATCCCCATAGCATGTGCTAAAACTTTTGCCGTGGCTGAGGCTGCGATGTTTGTTAGTCCCTGGACTGGTTACTTGCGAATGTGGTTGCCTTTGTTCTTCTTTGTCATATTCATCAAGTTTTTCTTCCTCAGTGGAATCGTTCAGATAATCAACCATAGATGATAAAAATTGACTTTCCGATTGTTCATGATATATATCCTTGTCGACAATAGAACGTCTGATGAGACTGTCCAAGTACAATAGAATACCAGAATTTACGGGGAATTGTAAATCAGTGTCCCATTTCTTGATGTTCGTTTTAAGTGGTTTCCCCATTATGAAATATTCAAACAGTAGTATTTGATACTGGGTGGTGGGATAACCGGCCAGGACGAAACCCCGTTTGCCTTCGAGAGTTTTAAGGTATTCCACCAACATCGCCACTAGAAGAACGTCGTCGAGGCATTCCCCTTCGTTCAACATTTCAAATGCCAGTTTGCCTAGAAGACCAGCGTAAGAATGTTTCGGCCCTACACCGTCCGCTGGAGGGAATTGAGTTTCCTTATTCACCAAGTTCTTATACCTAGGAACAAAACCTACCAGTTCTACTATGTCTGAAAATTTCTCCAAAAAATCGGCATTACGAAACAGATCATAATAAGATTTTTCCTCTTCGAATTTTTCTAGACAGTAATTCGTAAATAAATTAACATCGATTAATACAACCTTCTGGACTTCCAAAAGTTCTTTCATTTGGTTCAGCACAAATGGATCTTGTACGTCAGCCAGAATTACTTTGATTGTGAATTCTGGTAGTTTTAAAAGCTGTATATCAGGAGGAAGCGGGTATTTGTTCTGCAAAAGTGTGTGAATGATGAACCCGAAATTGTTCAATGATCGAGGCTCGTTGGATGAAGACCATAATCCTTTTTGTTTCAAATAGCAGTCAACGATTACATCAAGTAAAGCGTCGGGTATCTTAGTCTGTAAGTAGTGCATTTTTATACCTTCAACCCTATCGTAACTCGATTTGTTGTTAAAATGATTATTTACTTCGAGTTCGATAGGCAAACCTTTGTAAAACAACTCCTTCCACAGAAACTCGACATATTTGGGAACATCGTGTTCGTGGGCACGCCAATACTCGGATTTTAACGTGGAATAATCGACTAAGTCTATTGCCGTTTGGCCGCAGAGGGCGAGATTTTCCCTCTCCATTTTGGAAGCTACTTCTTCGAAGAGACGACTGTGCAATTCCAGAATACGTTTTTTCTCATCCACCTTTTTGTAAGGGTATATGTCTGCCAGAATCGGCCCGGGCCGCTCGGTTTGTTCATTGGTGACTATCGACTGCTGGAAGAAATTTTTGTACTGGGTGTGAAGTTGTGTCCATTTAATAGATAACTGCTTTTCTTGGCTAGACTGCTCCAGCAACTTGGACCTGACTGTGTTTTCAAAGTCCTCAAGTTCATTGGCTGTAAAAGTGCTCCACAGGTCGTATAAGATAGACGAGAACATTTTCAGTTTTGTTTTTTCCATGTTCAAAGTTCGTTTCTTCTTATTAAGCAAGTTCATTTGTTCTGGTGACAGGGCGACGTGCTTTTTCGATTCGCACCTTTTTATACAAACGTCTTCATTATGGGTTGCGGGAGGCGTTAAATTTATTTTCATTTTATCGTTGTGTCCGAATTTCGCGTTGTTCAATAAAGCCAATTTCCGAGCCCTGCGAGCAGATTCTTGTTTGCACTTTTTCAGAAGCTTCTCTTTCCGATATTTGTACTTTAAGACCAAGGGCTTGCTATGTACCAATGGATCTTCTAGGAGTCCGCTATTATGACACTTAGTGTCTACAAAATCGATTTGGCTCTCGGGTGCCTTTTTGACTTGAAACCCATTTTCTTCCTTGGAAAGTAAATACGCCTCCCTCTGCTTGGTCACCATGTAAATATGATTTCTGTCTTCAACCCTCAGGTAGATTTCATAGAGCATCCTCAGACACGCTTCTTTATTGCGCTGTGAAATCTTTTTGAGGAAGAAAGGATCGTGGTTTACGCCGAGGATCTTCAGCCATGGACAAAGCATTTCCAAATTCGACAGGGCTTCGAATTGGGAAGAAACGGGAAACTTCGGCTGCTTCACACTGCCGCTTCCCGGAGTGATGAACTCTATTAACTTGTAATAAATGAAACCGTCAAAAAGTTTTCTACCTACATCTTTGTGATCCAAGTTCAGCAAGACGCCTGTCTTGTTGCACACCCAGTTCTGTATTATGGTAGTCATCTAAAAAAATAATAATATTTTATAATAATTCAATATAATGTTTTTGTAGATTAAAGAATCATAGTCAACGTGCTTACTGGTCGGCGGGATATTACTGGCAAGAGCAGATTAAAAAGACCATCTACATCTCCCTTCAAGTTGAAAGAATACGCCAAGTACTACTGAATTTTATCTCTTTACTTTGTTTTGAGAGCAGAAAAACAAGATAATTATTGGTTCCAGGTTGAATTATATAATTTGAACGTCATGAACTCAATAGCTCACATTTATCCAAAATAATGTTTCAGATGACAAGTGCAATTATGATCCTCGCCGACCTGCGAATTTTCATTTTAAGAAAGAAAATTTAGAAATCGATACCTTTGTAAATGAAGAACTGTGGGAATCGTAAGAGCCAAAAGGCTTCTGTTTAGGAAATTCACTTCAAAACTAAGAAATCCAACAATTTTTGACTAGTACTCCTGCACGCGAGGAAGAAGAAGCGTCCGATCCAAACTCTCAATTATAACAAAAACATAACACATAACAATAAACCATAAAACATTATGATTCAATCATGTGGGTGACACGTTGTTTTATTTTTGAATTGTGAAGAAATAATAATTAAAATGGTGTTTTGTCACTACAACTGCGACAGCACAAATAGGCTTCTAGAGTCGTTCAGCGAACTGTAAAAGAGCGAAGGTCTCTTGGTGAAAATCATAATTATAATTTTTGTCTGGTGTGATTTGTGCAACCTTGCAATATCTTTGATGCAGAACATTACGTTTTATCGGAATGAAATGTCAAAGGTTTTATGTAACACCTGCAGCTCTTGGTTTCGTCTTCTGATTCAAATCCAAGTTGCCTCTTGACCTTGTTTCATAATCAAAATCAAGCATATACTATTATTGAATATTTTCTTAACCTTTTCTTATAACTTTACTATTAAGGGACTGTCCAGAAGTTCGAGACGTATTAAACCAGCATGCCACGGCAACGTACCATTGCAACTCTCTTATCAACAATCTCACATCAGTGGTCCAAATTTCTACTTTTGTTACCCGATTTTTAAACAATGATTCCAAACCATCAACTGAATCATTGGACGGTCAATAGTATAAAATAACAGTATAGCTTTAAATTAATTTAAAGTTAAGTAAACGAAGGGAGAAAAACGGAAAGAATTTTGTATTGTTATCCTTATTCATTTCCTTACTATAGTCTAGTCCATATTAAATATCGTAAACAATAAGGCACTCGCCGCCCATGCCGACCCGAGTACAGCTTGTGCTTTAGAGAGGTTGCCACGCCCTCTGGGCTATACCTTTATTTTGCGCCCGGACCCCCCCCCCTTTTAACCAAGGATTGGGAGGAGGTCACAAGATAGAATGAAGGTACCTGGATTGAGAAAGGGACGTGGATAGGACAAGGTGGATCGTTTCGGGGACTCGAGCCTCAACCATATTATACCACCCGTCGTCGCTGTAGTTCCACATAGAGTGGGCCACAACTCCCTGGGTGGGTAGGTAGAGGAGACACTAACACACCTACTACAAACTGTGGTGCTACACATGCCCGCAGGAGGAAGTTCTTTGGTGACCATAGGCATAGGCTGTCCATGCAATTGAGAGATGTACTCTGTTCAACTAGAAAAAGGGTACAAAGAGTATACTATATCATGCCATATAGGTAAGCAGCCATCAAAGCACTTCAAACATTATTAGCTCAAAGATGGTGTTGTAAAACTAAACTAAACAGATTAGATATGCAAAACGGTCTTCCTCTGCTTGGTCCCAGGACCCAACAAGAAAGAGGATGCCTCCTTTGCTTTGCAAGGGAAACCTATACCATTGATAGGCCCTGAGCGCTTCTGTGGTGTAGGGATTCACTATCAACCAGTATTTCAGACTAAAGTGCAAAATGAAAATGTAAAAAAACAGTAGAATTCAATCATTTACATAACCAACCGAAGAACTTTCTAGCAAGTGTTAGAAGGAAAGGAACATCAGATACATCAAAGTAAGCAGGAAAACCTTTGAAACCTAACAGGATTCTTAACTTGGCACTGCAGACTGAATGAGCCGTCTGATGCTCCCCTGTTGAAGATTGGTATAACACAACTCGGCACGTGCAGATTCAGACAAGAATAAGGAGCAACGCCAACACACTTGCTAACAAACTGAAGCGTTACATTTTCCTTCAGGAGGAGGTGTTCTGGAATGTACAACGCAATCGTATTCAACCACTGAAACATAACCAACTAATCAATTTTCTTGAAGAATTAATGGCGCTATAGGTACAGAAGGGGGTGTGCTCTCAATGAGCGCAGCACATTGCACACCCTGAACTTTATATCTTACATCTTGAGAACATTCACCCCGATACCTTTCAAACCAACAAGCATTAACTAAGTTCAAGTTTTATTTATTACATAGTCAGATTGTAATAACCAAATCAGCACATCCAACCTTAGACCGTGATTCATTAACCACTTAAAAGCTAGAATTTTCTTTTATTCTAAATACTACATTTATCTATCTACAATTAGTCATTTCAAGAACAGAATATATTTTTTCTCTCTTGTTCTTGGGCTACTAATTTATTTTCAATGAATTTTTCGACGTAGTAACTCATATTGAACCATCTGAAAACATTGGTCGTTTCAAATATAGTTTTGATGATTTCACTCTCTGCTAAAATGTATCCCTTGATGTATCCGTTTTTACCTTTACTTTCGTAAAGTTCTTGCAACGCTTCCTCAATCTCCTTCTGCCGCCATTGATGACTTGGAGGGAGAAAGTAAAAATTCAAGGCCAAAATGAAAAGGGAGACAACGAGTTTATAAGGGATGCAGACGTGCCATTTCGGGTGGTTGTATCTTTCCGGGTAAGTGGGTTCTGGGCTTAATTCGGGATGGATGCCGATTGTAACGTTGTCCGAGACTTCTTGTTCTTCCTCTACTTTTTCTTCTTCTTCTTCTTCTTCACCTTCGCCTACTTCTTCTGTAGTCGCTTCGTAAGCGGGTTCTACATCGGAGTCGATGTAGTTTTTTGGAAGTGTCGTTACTCTTATTCCTTCGGTCCTGATGATGACTTCGTGAACTACTTGTATTATGATTTCGTCGGCGATCCGTTGAGCGTCTTCTCTGGCCTCCACCTCTTCCTTATACGCTTCTGCGTTGATAAGAATACCTTTATCGTCCACGAGGGTCAGTGCCTTCATAAAACCTTCGAGGCCGTCTTCCCCTCTACAAAAGGCAAAAATGAATGATGAGTAGTTCATATCGTTCGGGCTCACCTGAAACAACCGAAAAAGTATTTTCTTTTTGCTTTCAATTTCATTTTCCACGGATTCCACCGTTTCGAACCACAGAGGAACGCTCATGAACTGTTGGAACGTTATGTTCTCATACCCTTCTTCGTCTAGTTCCCTGTATCGCTCCTTGAGGTATACCAATTCTTCAGCAGAGGGTAGAGGTACATTTAAATTAAATATAATAAAATCTCTCCAATCGTAAACTGCCAACTGGCCGAATATTTGTTGAAGTATGAATAAGAGGTCTTCGGAATTCAAGTGGGCCCATTTAGGTGGAACATACGGGCAGTCGGTTTCTGACGTAAACGCAATCATATCTTCTAAAATAGGGATAAAAGGCGATTCTAAAATTCCGTTGGGTGAAACGTAACTCAACTTGGTAATTAGGTTTTCGAGCTGGACTGTACTGAACTTGTAGTCCTCCGAAACGGCTTCGGCAGGTGATGGAGGAGGCGGAGGGTTCTCAGGGTATTCCTCGTTGTATTCCGTATAGAACCGGTCTCCTTCTAATACGAGCTTCTGTCTGACATTGGTCTCATTTTTGATCGCGTTCTGCAAAACTGTACAGAGCTGTTCGACAGCTCTGATTTCTCTGTGAAAAATAACGGCTATGTCGTTTTCGAACTGAAAGAACATCTGTTGGGAAAATTCGACTATTTCCTTAAGATCGTCTTTCAGTTTACTCTCTATCAATTTAATTCTGAAACACAACCTTTCGCCTTCGTTTTTCACCGCTGTGAACCATTCCCATTTTATTTTATCTATCTTGTTTAATTCGTTGATTTCCATTTGCTCGTAGTAGACTCCTTCGTTGCCTTCGTCCATCTCTAGTTTTACTATTCGGCCGCCTGTTTTGGTAGTTTTATTCTTTGACCTCAACAGCTTGAGTATAGTCATTCTTTGGCATTGCTTCGGAACGTACGAGACGGGAAAGTACATACTGAAAACCCTATGTCTTTTTAATTCTTCGGTGTTCCTTTTACTACTCGGAATTTTAGAAGAAGGCTTTGCAAGCAACATCACCAAGAGCTCTCTGCCGATATTGAAGTCGTTTATGTAGGTCCGAGTCCTGACTTTACATTGATACACTTTTTTCGCAACTTGTTGCATAGGCAAGACGATGAGGGATGTCAGTATATCCATGTTGAAAGAATCTGTTTTAAATATTTCGTCATTCATACGTTTGATGGTTTTTTCGAGCATATCTTGCATTTGAATTTTTTCCGGAGACCTTTTAGTTAACATCATACTGAAAAATTCTTCTTCCTCTGTCGGAACGATCCGTTCTAATATTATTTTTTCTATAGGCGGATCGTCGACAGTAGCTCTCAACATGGCTAGATAGTATTCGTTTAAAAGTTGAAGTGTGTCGACCGTCCGGTCTATTTCTAACTGCATGAGGCTTAAGAAAATGTTAATTAAGGTGCAGCAGTAGCTCAAAATCCATCCCTTTTCCATTAGTTTTTTCATCACGAATTCAGCCCTCCGCTTTTTAGCGTCCGACATCTCACACAATAAATTCCAAAGTTCATATACACGACAGTGCAATTCTAATTTCATCTCGGGATCCTTTCTCATATCGATGTCTACATCGTTGAATAAATTCTGAAATTCGGAAACTATCCTCGTCCTGTCGTCGGTGAAGTTAATAGCGTCTTCCATGACGTTGCGAACAAAATTTCTATAAGGAAAAAATTTAGCCCTATGCACTCTCAGCAGTTGCATGACTTGGTACAGGCCTTCGAGGTAGAGCGCTTCAATCAATTCCCATCTAGTCGCAAAAGATATTTGCACGTCCTGTGGTATTTCTTCGTTGGCGTACTCCCATCCTTGATCACCGGGCAGAAGGATACACGGTGGGGGTGTATGTTCGACCTTAACAAACGAAGGCACTTTTTGTACGACTTGTTCAGGTCCTGGTTTCGTATCGTGCGAAGTGGTCTGCTGCTTCCTATCCAACTTGTCTTTCGGCTCTTTTCCCGATTTACCGGCTTTGTCAGATATAGTTTTCCGCTTTGCAGATGTTTTCGATACAGATTTCCGCGAAACCGATTTTCGGGAAATAGATTTCTTTTTACTCTCCACTTTCACTTTTCCACCAATTTTCGGGTCAGTCCTAGAGACAGTCTTAGGCCTGTATTTTGCGCATATTTCCAAGTTTTCCAACCCGAATAAAATCTCTGAATCTTTTCTCGTCGGGTCTTCCACTTCATCCGTCTCGTCAAGTATCAAACGCGCGATTTTCGTAATGGGCAAATAATCTTGATGATGAACGATTGAATACAATAAGTCAAAATATTGGTAGAAATTGAGAGGAGGTGCTACTTGGGCGTAAGCGTTTGCACCGACTTCTTCACTTTCAAAATATGTTCCAAACCCCTTCAATACTGACATATGGGAAGATTTTTCTTTAGGAAGTTTAGTTTCTGTAAAATTAACGAGACACTTATTGATAAACGGCATATGAGTGGGTTGGACGGTACTGACAGGGTTGGGTCTGGGAAGAACTTTTGCCGTTCTGTAATGAATTAATTGTTCCATTGTGACTGTAATTATGCTTGTATCCACTACGACTTCGGGCTCTTTGTAGCTCTTCTTTTCTTCTTCGAGATCGGGAGGATTTTTCATTTCTGCCTTTTCGGGTGCTTTTTTGGACTGACCTTTCTCTAGGAATTTACGGGTGGAAGTTGTCTTTCCTTTAAGACCCTTTGGCGGTTTTTCGGAATTTTTGGGTTTCGACATTTCTATCTCGGGTTCGGAGGCGATAATTTCTTCAGGGGCGGCCTCCTCTATTTCTTCTTCTTCTGGTAACTGCTCTTCGGCCAGAGTTTCGGCCAATTCTAATTCCTTCGCTAATCTCAACTCTTCTTCTAGACGACGTTTCTCGAGCATCCTCTTGTCATGCACTGTCGGAATAACTTCCAAAGCGGTTTCCTGGATAAATTTTGAAACAACACCTTCGCAATTTAATATTTTCTTCGTATCGAGTTTAAGCGGAGGATGTAACGCGTTATAAATGTACTCCTTTGCAGAATTCTCCATCTGTAAGTTGACTTGAATCGGCCTTCCAGTGATAAGAAATTCTAATAGGGCTGCTTGCCCCACGTTGTGTGGAAAATCAACCAAAACAAAACCCCTGTAAGATGTTAGCGATTTCAAATACTCGACGATTAATTTTGCACCTAAAACGTCGTCCACTTCTTCTCCGTTGCGAATTACTTCTTGCGCTTGTTTACCTAATTTACCAGCTTCGGTGAGGTTTACACGACGGAAGAAATCGTCAACACTCGGGCATTGAACCGCCTTATCGTTTGTAGTTTTTGTCAATATAAAATCGCGAGATTTCTTTTTACTTTGCGATTCATTGTTCGATTTGGAATTACTTTGCTTTTCATCCCCCCTTTTAACACTTCCTCTTTTAGCACTTGACTTCCTACGTCCTTTGTTGTCATCATCCTTGTCTGTGTTTTTCTTTATAGAACTCGCTCTTGTTTTACCACTGCTTTTCCTCCGACTACTGCTTTGCCTCCTGCTACTGCTTTGTCTTCTACTGCTGCTTTGCCTCCTGCTACTGCTTTGTCTTCTACTGCTGCTTTGCCTCCTACTACTGCTTTGTCTTCTACTGCTGCTTTGCCTCCTCGCACTTTGTCTCCTCCCGCTGCTCTGCCTTCTTGAGCCGCTGGTCGGATTTTTTTTTGACGATTCTTTAGCATCTTTCCTGCCGAACATGATAATACCGACTTCTTCTTCATATCGATCTATGCAATAATGAATAGCCTCGTTCATTTTTATGAGAATTACTCCCGCGCCTTTCACAAGTTCTTGAAGGTAATTGATGAATATCGGATCGTAAAAATATTTAATAACGGTTCTAATATCAAAATGGTCAATGTTCGCAGGTTGGGGAGGCGGTGGGAATGGATATTTTGTTTCTAACAGTCGGTGAATGACGAATCCGTGTATGTCCAATGACTCTTTCCCCGAACCTAGTTCGGGCCAGTCTTCTATCATCCACTGATCCACGAGATATAAATAGCTATGTACGTAAAATTTGTTCAATGTATCCATAATGACCCGATCGAGGAGCGTTTGACTATCGATGGTCCTTATATTCTCGTATGCCATATCGTCCGATACGTTAGATCCCTCTTCACCCCACATTTCTTCGCTCTCGATATCCGAGAGTAAATTGACATCACGGTTCAAAAAGAATGGTATGCACCTGTAGAATAGTTCTTTCCAATCGTTCATTGCTCGGCGATTAGGAGAAATGCAATTTTCCCTTCTATACTCCGCCACGATAACGGCTAAATCTGCTATGTCGACTGCGATATCCCTACATTCTCTAATATGTCTCTCATGTCTGAGCCTCTTCTTTTCAGCAAATAACTTCTTATGCTCTTCCTGGTGGGTTTGCCAATACACTTTTAGCTTCTTTCCTCTTTCTCGTAAAATGGTGTTTTTTAATATAGCTCCCTCTGGTACTTCTCCTTCCTGTTCATCCGGTTGGATTATTTTTTTAGGCTTCTTCTCAAAATGCTCCAGGTTACTGTTATGAATCATAGCCAGCTTGATTGCGAGCTTCCGCTCGTATTCCGATTGTTCGTTCAGCTTTTTCACAAAATATTTTCCAAACTCCTCTCCATTTTTCTTTAAAAGCGCTGCCCATACATCGCGCAAAAATAGATTTTGCATTTTTAATTTCATCAATCCGTTTCCTATGTTGATTCGTTTTTTTTTCTGAAGATCTTGGATGTATTCTCGAGGGTCACAACCTAAAATCGCATGATCCGATAGATTCTCCTCAGCGTAAAGAGCCGCAAAAGCTCTAACGTCTTCCATTGTTTTTAAATGGGCGCCTTCCAAATCAGGTTTATAACGGAGATATTTTGGTGGTTCGACGGTCATTTCTTTATATTTTTCTCTTCTGAGCCGGCTTTCTTCGCTACATTTTGCAACTATCATCTTTCTCAGCTGGCTATATTTCATCGTAAGGCCTTGGTTCACTGAAACTCCAATCATCTCGGACTGCCGTCGACGGACCTCTTTGATGATAGTCGTATCTCTACACTTCGGAAGCTTAACAGCAGGAGGAACGTTTTCATTATTTTCCGACTGTTTTACTATCAGATCTATAACAAAACGATCCTGAAGTTTGAAGTACAATTCAAACAACAGTCTCAACGCGTTCGAATTAGATTTATAAGCGATTTGCTCCAAAAAAGAGCTATTGTAATAAATTCCAATCAGGTGGAACCACGGGCACAGTTTGTTGATATTGAGAAGTGCTTCCTTCGGCGAACAGTTTGCTTTCGGCGCAATGACACAATCTTTACCGATCAGGTTGTAACTTTTCAAAATGTTATAATAAATGCATCCATCATATAATTTGTTGCCTACATTTGACGAATCGAGGTTCAAGCAAATTCCCACCCTTTTTTTTAACCAATCTTCAATTGCCTTGGCCATCTAAAACCAAAAATAAACGTGATTACCTTGTTTTTTAATTATAACATTATAATTAAATTCAGAACATATATTACGACTATTATACAGTTTTATTTTACTTTGAAGTATGATACAGTCGGATTATAAAACAATGTATATTTAAAAACGATCAAAAGAAGAAAAGTACAAATCATTCACCCTTAAAATTTATTGCAGCCTAGTTCCTTTTTGGAGTATATTTTTTATTGAATACGCTTTAACTTAACGATTTAACAACTTTCAAAGAGGAAAAATTGATTATAATATTTGATGACGTGTTTATTTAAAAAAAAGAATACAAATGACATTACACTGCGAATAATTTATTTAGATTTTCGTTAATCAGTCACCGATCCGTCCATTACGTGACAACGTCCACCTGGATCCCTGCATATGCTTGCAGAAATTAAAGCGGAACGGATAAGGAAAGCTACCAATTCTTGGTCAATACAATCTGTTAAAGTTGCGCCAAATGCGTTTTAACGAAACTTTTTTCAAGTCGTCTATTCTGCTGCAGGCGTGAATGCCATTTCGGCCTCTATTTGTGTAATACACCTTTCCACTAGTTCCGAGATATCGGACCATTTATAGGTATGCACAGTTTCAAACATCTCTTTGAATATATCGTTATCCGCAAGATTGTGCGCCTTGATGTAACCGTCTTTTCCTTTCAGGTCGTAAAGGAATTTCAGCCTCCTTTCCATGTCTAATTGTCGGTGGAGGTGATCTTGGGATATTCCGTAGGAATGGATACCGGAAATAAACAGGGTCAAAGCGAGATTGTATGGTACACAGACTTTCCACCTGCCGTCTATATAAATACCAGTCAAAGCCACATCGGGCAAATAAACGATACCGTCGGTTTTGCATGTAGTCGTTTCTTCGGCGAGAGAGTCGGTGGAGAAGGTTCTGTCATTGCTGGTTTTAAGTATTTCTTCGGTTATCAAATACTCGTTGAAATATGATCCATAGAGTAGGTCATTTCTGTGTTTCGACAAAACCTTCACTTCCACTTCGTCGATAGCTCTGTTCAATTGTTTAGAGTATTCTTTCATGAGTTGATTGACAACTATATTACCTTCTACATGCGGAATGTAGGGCACCTGGTAACAAGCTTGGTTTTGTACTATTTGACGGCTGCCGACGAGGATCAACGCCATCATAAAACCTTCGAATACGTCTTCATCTTTGCAAAACGCCAACAGCATATTTGAATAGTTCATTTCATTTGGGCTGACTTGAAAAATTTTGAATAAGAGTTCTTTGGCCAGGGCCATCCGCAGATCTTCGTATATGGTCTCTCCGAAATCCCTGTCGAACCACAGAGGTACGTTCATATACTGTTCAAACGTAATAGTTTCATATCCTTCTGTATCTATTTCCATGTACCTGTCTCGAAGTTCCAACAAATCGACCAGTTTCGGCATTGGGATATCCAAGTTGAACAAAATGAAGTCTTTCCACTGAATTATACCAGGATTGCCGAACACGATGTTCACGATTGCCTCCACGTCTGCTCGCCTTAATTTACTCCATTTGGCTGGAAGGTAAGAAAACTCGATATTTGACGATTCCAGCACTAAATCCTCAATGATGGATATAAAGGATTCCTGCACCATGCTATAAGGAGATATGAAATTAAATTTTGTCAAAAGCCCTTCCAGCTGTTTAATTGTAAACTTGATATCCGATTTAACTTCTTCCAAGGATTGCGGCGGAGGCGGAGATCGATCTGGGAAAAGAAGATTACTCCGATCGATGTAAAACTTTCCTTTGTCTAAAATCATGAGGGGTTGAATTGGAGTTTCGTCTTCAATCGCAGCTTTAAAAACTAAACACAGATCCTCGACGGCTCTCAATTCCCTATCATACCTCATTTTAATTTCATTTCGAAAAAATTCAGCAGCTTCTATTGAAAATTTAAATAAATCATTCACTTCCTCCTTTATCCTGCAATCGACTAATTTTAATCTTACGGCGAGGCGGTCCAGCTCATTTTGTACAGCCGCCTTCCATTCCATTTTTATAAAATCTATTTCGTCGAAGTCTTTTTGTAGACTTAATCTGTGACTTCCAATGTCTTTGCTTCCCCGTTTTTTTCCTTTACGCCCACCAGTGGATTGTTTACGCGATTGACGTCGCCCTCCACCTGCAATAGATTTTTTCGAGGATTGGCGTCGCCCTCCGCCGGAAATAGATTTTTTCGAGGATTGGCGTCGCGCTCCGCCGGAAATAGATTTTTTCGAGGATTGGCGTCGCGCTCCACCGGTAATAGATTTTTTTGAAGATTGGCGTCGCGCTCCACCGGTAATAGATTTTTTCGAGGATTGGCGTCGCCCACCGCCGGTAATGGATTTTTTTGCAGATTGCCTCCTGTCCCCTCCTCCTGAATGTTTTTGAGACTGCCTACGACCTCCTGTTGACTTTTTTCTAGATTGGCGTCTTTCGCTCGTCGACGTTTTCGTACTTTGTCGTCTTTTACTTGTAGGTCGTGTTGGTGCCGCCTTCTGTTTACTCCCCCTTTCCGCTTTCTCTTTTGTCTGCAAGAGTATCCGCAGATCTTTTCCCATATTTTCGTCGTTGATGACTTCGTTCAAACGAGTTTGCGTTTGTCTCGCCTTCACCATCAAATCTACGAGAGTCCCTTCGATCGCGACCTGCAGCATGGAATTGCTGATTGTCACCGGGCTGGTCCCGATCGCCAAGTCTTCTTCAAAGATGATGGTACTTTGTCGTTGTTTTCTTTTTCTAGTCTTTCTTAAAACGATATCCGATTCCGTTTCCGTCAACGTTTCCGATTTGTATTCTTGGAGAGGCACTGCAGGCGTCACCAATTTTGACAGGGTTATTTTCTCTAGTTTGGACTCGTCAAGTCTACCCATCAGCATCGCGGTGTAATAATCGTTGAATATATTCAAAGTGTCCACGTAACGATCACATTCTATCTGCATTACATCGTAATAATTGTTTATAATGGGGTAACAAAAGGCCGTCTCCCATCCTTCTGGCAAAAGAGTTTTCATATCTTTCTTTGCATTTTCATATTTTTGAATAGTTAAATCGTTCAGAATTTCTTGTAACTCTTTCACTCTGTAATGGAGTTCCACTTTTAATTGAGCGTCTCGTCGAAAGTCGTTGTCTATTGCGTTCACCATTAATTGGAAGTTATTCACCATATTCAGTTTATCATCTGGTATTTCGAGAAATTCTTTCATCATGTTTTTAATTCCTATTCTGAGCGGTGACATTTTTTGTCGGTAGAGTTTTATTATTTCTAAAACGGAATGGAGGTTTCTGAGGTAGACGTGTTCTACGACTTCCCAAATGGTGGCCAAGGCAACTTGTAATTTGTCCGGTATTGGTTGTACATGATAAATCCAACCGTCTTCTCCCGGCTTAATACCCGTGTATTTGAAAGATTCAACACTTTCATCGATTTTTGGGGCTTCGCCTTTTACTATGCTAGACTTTTTAGTACTATCGGTTTTGCTACTTTTACTCTCCCGGCGACCCATACTCGACTTTCTGCTTTTTGCCGTGGCACCTTTTTTACTCTGCCTCCGATCGCTTTTTACCACAGATTTTCTAGTCGTCATACTTTTATCCGTTGTGGCCACTTGCTTGTTAATCTTTGCTGCAGCTGTCTCCTGAATGATCCGCTGGTCGACTATCGACGACTTCTTTCTAGCAGTCTTAGTAAACGTCTTAACGGGTTCAGCCTCGACAGGTTCCAATAGTTTTTTTTTGGCCATTTCGTTGGGCGTCTCGTGGATTTGCCTTTTTAATACGTCAATATCAGAATAACTCCTGAAATGCTTTTTCTTCACGGTCGAAGCTTTCAACGGACCGGATTCGAATAAATCTGCTGAATTTCTTCTCAAAAGATGTGTTTTTTCTTCAGGCTCTTTAAGAATTAAACGAGCGATCGACTTTATGGGTATGTTCCCGTGAACTTTGACGAAAGTTATCGGTATATTGCAATTCTTGAATAAAATCAAAGGGGATGGAAGTTCATTCCAAGTCTTCGTTTTTTCCTTGTCTATTAGCAAATATTGACTAGATTTTTCGGTGGGAAATTGAAAGACTTCAGTTCGATGCACGGGTTTGAGGGGGATTTCAAATACTGTAGAAGCCTTCCTTGAGCTGTTCAAAGTCTTACTACCAGAAGCCCTTGTATTGCTTTCAAAATTTTTGCCTAATATGCTCAAAAAGGATACAGGACCATCGATTATTGGTTTTTTAATCGGTGGGAGCAAATCACGAAAAATGGACGAACACTTCTTTTCGCTATTTTTCTTTCCGGCTTTTTCTTTTAAATTTGTTATGCAGGACTGGAAAAAAAATTTCTGCTCTCCCTGAGGACTTATTCCCTGTTTCGTCCTAGGTAATATTTTCGATTTTCTGAACGTCATTAAATCCTGGAGTGAAATGGAAGGTTCTTCACTTTCGATATCTTTTTCTCTTTCTTGATAAATAGGAACATAATAATAGTCGTTATCTATTACAGGCTGTTCTGGTTCTATTGTTTTCGTCGAAAAACTTTTTCTAAGGATCAACGTTTTCGAAATTTTCCGTTTACCGGCTACTTTGGGAGCCGAGCCGGATTGTACTTCCGAACTTTCCTCTTCCTCTTCTTCTTCCACCTGTTTTGATTTCTTTACCTTTTTCGTTTTATAGAAGAACGGTAAAAATTTATCCAGAGCGGCAAAGGTTTTTTCATTTATATAATAGGAGAACTTATTCTCGAAGTCGACAAGTAGTCGGGAATCCACCGATAAGGGAGGCTCCATCTCGTGGAAAATCATTTCCTTGTCGTCGTATTCCATTGGAAAATTGATATCTACTGGAACTCCGGTTATCAGAAATTCTAAAAGTGCAGCTTGAGAAACGGAATTCGGAAAATCGACGAGTACGAAACCTTCCTCTTGAGTCAAAGTTTTCAAGTATTCCACCATCATTTTTACGGCCAATACTTCATCTAAAAGTTCACCCCTGTTAAGAGTCTCGAAGGCAATTTTGCCGAGAAGTGCCGGCATGCTGTGTTTAAAGCGTTTATTTAAGTCTTCGATGCTTGGGCATTGTATTGCTTTATGGTGAGCCAACCTCGTCCTGAAGTATCTGGCTTTTTTACTGTCCATGCCGACCGCCATGACTTCACTCGGTACCTCGGCCAGACTGGGTGCCACGAAATCCGAACTGGCGGCGGTTAAATCGTTTTGCAATACTTCCGGCAGTAAAGTTCGTCCAAACGGAGTTATGTGTTTTTCCTTTTTGTACACCTTTAGGCAGTAGTTGACCGCATCGTTTAAGCGTACCACTACAACACGGAATTTTTTCAGAAGAGCCGAGAGACGATTAATAAAGTTTTGATCGTGAAAGTTCCTCAAGTAAGTCCGTATTTTGAAATGGGTGAATTTCGGCGGTTGAGGTTGAGGCGGAAAAGGATATTTGAATTCTAAAAGACGGTTAATGACGAATCCGTGTATGCTTACATTTTCCCTAAAATGGTCCATACCGCAGTTTCCCAAGTTCCACAAGCCGGTACAGTCTAAATATGACTTTGCGTGAAAATTGTTTAAAACCTCCTCGGCTACTCGATCCCTAACAGAAACGTTTTCGATTTGTCTAATATCTTTGTAAGTCATACGGTTGGTAATGTATTCTTCCCGGTTTATACGACCGTGGCTTGTTTCGATTATCGTGGCATCGGGAAACCCGTAAAAAGGGACACCCTTGTAGAATAAACCATTATAATCGGCTATAGCCGATTTGGACGGGGACACCCCAGCCGATTTGAACGTTTCAAACTGGTATATAGCCAAATCTATCAAATCGGTTACAATATCTTCGCAAGTCTCTCCCATAAATTTGCCCCTCTTTTTCGACTTATCTTCTTTAAATCTACGATGCAACTCAAGCAACCGCATCCTTTCATTATTGTCATCATTTTCTCGTTTTTGTATAATCGATTGTCGTTTCCAGTAGCCCTCTTCTGTTTCTGGTACGTCGTTGATCAATTGTTTCTGTTCGAAAAAGCTCTTGTAATTGCAATTCGTCCGAGCAAGGCGAAGACAAAGGTTCTTCTCGCATTCTGACTGTTGTCGGAGCCTTTCCTCGAAGAAAGCTTCGAAATCGCGTTCGCTCGTAGCCAAGATTTCCGTCCACATGTCATGAAGCAGCATATTTTGCATTTTTAATCTGAGCAATTCGTTGGAAAAAAAGTTCACTTTCTTCTGCCTGAGGTAGTTCACGTGTTCTTGAGGTGTACAGTTTAAAAACAATTCCTGAGATAAATTGCGATCGTCACAGGAATCGACGAACGCCCTAATCGGATCATTCCCGTTTCCGCCTTCTATAGACTTGGGTTCGAATTTCTTTGCGAATTTCGGAATTACAAGTTGAACAGATTTGTTCCTTTCAGCCATTTTTAATCTTCGAACCCGCACTTGCTCGTTGAACTCTTCTTCCTGCTTTTTCTTGAGCTCTTTGTACCTTTTTATAATTTGTTGGTGTGTTATCAACGGAATCTCCAAATGGTTTATCTTTTGTTTGAAAGCGAATAGAGGGAGCTGTTTCAGATTCTTTTTCACCTTGAACTTGCCGGTCGTTTTCGTCAATATTTGATTATGCATCTGATTCGTTATGAGATGGATGCAGTTACTGTCTTCCAGCCTGCGGTATATGTTCAGAAGCAACTTGACGCAGTGCTTCTTTTCTTTTCTCGAGACTTGGTCCAGAAAACGCGAACTGGGGTTGACACCGATCAGCTTTAACCAAGGGACCAAGTTGTTCAAATTGTTCTTCGCATCGTACGCACTACAGAACTTCTTCGGCTCCGCTATGGACTCGGGGCTTAGAACGTTATAACTTCTTAGCAAGTGATAGAAGACATATCCACTATAGAGTTTCTCTCCGACTGTATTAGAATTTAACAGAAGGCAAAGACCGACCCTCTTTTTGATCCAATCTTCGACTTTTTGAGCCATCTACCAACAAATGAAAAAAATAATTCTAAAAATTTCCCAATTTGCTCCTAATTGAAAATAAATGCTATTTTAATTGTTAAACAACTTATTTTACTAAGCTCGGTTTTTTTATTTAGGGAAACTAAAATAGCTACACATCTTCAACAATAAAACGTCAATACATATCTAATATTTACGTCACTATATCACTATATAATCATCATATTCAATCGATAACTCCCAGAAAGGCCACCACAGGATCCAGTTTCTGATCGTTTTGGAGGAAATGATTATCATAACATCCCATGGTCGATGAGGCTGGTTTAAAATATAAGATTGTGACTATATTATATCAACCCAGACACTACACAGTATTTAAACTATGGTTGTTGAGAATGGCAAAGCAATAATAGTATGGAGGTATGATTATCACATCACCGTGTGCTCGACGACGTTGGTTTAGTCAAGTCAATATGCTACAAATATGGTTATTAATAATGAAAAGTAAATATTTAAACAAAAATCCTTTGGGCCTGAAACAGTTACGAATGTTTCATGCTTTTTTATGCTTGGGAAAGGTATGAATATATGCTACGATAAGTTTATTCCAAACGATAGGAGTATAGCGATGTTGAAACGAGACATTCTGCACATCATTGTCAGAAATGGAAGGTTTTCAGCGTATTGCCTCTCCCTGCTTATAACTCTAACGTTGCGCATCCGATGTAGTCTTTCTTTGTACGTTTTTAAGAACGGCACTTTGAAAATTGTGACGGTGTTAAATTAATATACAAGTAGCAAGTAATATATTTTCTGCATGGGTTGGTGTCTTCAAATTCGACATACCATCGGTAAGTTGTAAGTTGACAGATTTTTTAAGGAATAAAATTAATTTTTGATAAAAACTCGTTACACACGTTTTTGTTAAGTGATTATGTCTTTTTTTCTCGAAAGTTTACACTGGTTGTCACCACTATTTCGACAATGCTTCTGTCTTCTAAATAACATCCAATTTGCCTGCACAGCAATGCATCTTACTTAACTTAAGAACTCATGACTTAGTTTTACCCCCTCTAATATATCATAAGTCACAATCAACAGCTCACACTCGCACTCATCGCCCGACTTGGCTCACAGCTGCCCGAAGCCCTGCAGTCAATACCGCGAGCTCTCAGTATAGCGCCCGGCACTGCACATGGGTTACGTAACTCCAACACAACCGTTACTAAACGGTATTAAAACTCTTGCTGTTGTGAGAGGTTATCAAGTAATAAATTTATGGGAGTATGTGAGGAAGTATGTAATAACAACACCCTGCAGCCAATGAGACTGATTTATTCAAGCCGACTTTTAAGGCTTATTATATGGTTATTACTCATAAGTGATTATTAAAAAAAAACAAAAAAAAACACCTATTCACCTTAAACACTGGGATGACAAGGTTGCATGTTTTACGTTTTGAGAAGCTATGAATATATTTTGAACTTTGTGTTTGTTCCAGAATTTCAGATGGGAGTTATTGACGAAATTAGAAAACGATCCCTCACACAATTTACATGAATGGAAAGTTTTCGGTCTTGCCTCTCCCCGCTTACAACCTCAACTTAGAGGCATCCGCTGTATAATCTTTCCGTACAAAGAATGGCTTCTATAACCACACTGGTTCACAAAAACCACCGACACTCACAAAAGCTTCTTAGGGCCACCCATCAGCCACTAAACAATATTTGAACTCTACTTGCTGTGAGGGGCATTCAAGCAATAAATATGTCGAGGTATGCGATGATAAACCCACCACTGAAGATGGCGAAATGCCTGAATGCTTCTGGCATGAAAATCCACCGAAAATAAAAGTAGGGTTGTTAATTTTTGCTGGTTCTTATATTTAACTGGTTTCTTCTTGTATGGTACTTACACGTCAAGTAAGAAGAAAACCAGTTAAATATATTTTTCTAGAAATTTTTCTAGTAATGGACTTGGTCTGATCATCCCGTCCCAGTCTTCAAGCAAATAACTGTTTTGCCTTACTCATTTTCTTGAAGAAAGGTAAAAATGAAAATGGTTCGGTTCCCATTAGGACGTCTCTATTTTCCATTAGGACGTCTCCATCTCTTCTTTAATCTTTGGACTGTGTATTATATATATATATATGGGGGCGGGTGACCAGGACCCGAGGGGTTAAAAGCCTAGGTAGGCCCGTACCCCATCCCTAAAAGGTCCGGGACCTGGTCGGCTCACGAGTCCTGCATAAACCTTTTGGACCTATTCACAAACCCCAAGATTTTGGACCATTTTATCTTGGGGAGTGTTTTGGTTATGTCCTCTCCTTGGAAAGTATCANCTTGTCCTTAATGAGTGAGCCATCGGTGAAGCAGTCTAGGCTACGATGGTCATCATCCGCACTATAGTTATAATCACAGGGAGTAACTACCTGAAAGTGCTTTTTCCCTAAAGGTGTTTTCACCTTTTTATCGCTAACGCCCAGTAGTTGGTTGCTGACCTTACTCAATAAATGTAGAATTTTCGAGTGACCTATATTGTTTCCCTTATGGTTCCAGCTGCCTTCACTAATTAATCTATAGCTGCTGGTTAGTGCTCTAACCTTGACCTTTATGTGTAGAGGTGTAGTATTGGTTATCATTTCTAGTGCTAGGGTAGGTGTAGTGGGAAATGCTCCCGTCATCATCATACAACCTAGTCTTTGAAATGATCTTAGCTTGTTAATAGCCCCTTTATTTTCTAGCCCGTTCCACCATACTAGGGCTGCAAATAGAAATCTTGGTAATATAATTGCGGTATATATCCATTTGGCCACCCAAGGTTTGATACCCCATGTTCTACCAACAATTCTCCTACATTGCACCATGGATATTGTGCCTTTCCTTTGCATATTTTTAATGTGGCCTTTCCAATCAAGTTTCCTATCAAGCGTTATCCCGAGGAATTTGATTGAATCCTTTAGTTTCAATTCAATGCCCTGAAATTTTGGGTTTTTAAAGTTGCCTAGTGATCTTCTCCTGCTAAACATTATCAATTCCAGTTTAGCTGGATTAATCGAAAGACCTTTATCACCACACCACTCGGATAGCAACCCCATCGCCTCCTTCATCAGCAGTGATAGAGTCAGAGGATCCTTACCCGTGATCATTATGATACCATCGTCTGAAAATAATTGGCTATAAAAGCCTGAGTTATTCAGAAGCTCTAATAAGCTATTTACTGTGATTAACCACAGAAGAGGGGATAAGCAGCCTCCCTGTGGACAGCCTCCTGTGACCTTGATTCTCAGAGTACTACTACCTAAGCACATATTTACCATCCGACCCTCTAGGTAGGTTTTCACCCATCCTATGAGGTGTTGGTCTACATTATATTTATTTAGTGCTGCTATAATGCATGAAGTGTCTGCATTATCAAACGCTCCTTCCCAGGTGCAATTACTATTGTGTTATTACTATTCAATTAGTGTAATTGAATGATTCGAAGTTAAAGAATACTAACCTAAACAGTGTAAAATGAACTGACGAATAGATAAATAATAAAAACAGCAATACAGAGTGTGTACAACCCTACAATAAACTGTCATTGCACTTTTACCCCAACCACGGATTGTTTTACTTTTACCGTTGCTTATAGAATTGTACTGAACTTAAATGTAACTTAACGTGCTTATTTTCCATGGTTTTAACAACAAAAATAAATCGAACGCACGACGAATGAAACATTTTCTTAACAGAAGATCGCGGTAGGTCCCAAAAAAACAGAGAGGACTTAACTAACAACTTTAACAATTTTCGCGATATTCTCAGACGCGAAATAGTCAAATCGAAGGTATGCACTGAAGAGCTAACATTTCTCGCTGTCAACCAACGCCGCATAAGATGGGCACGAGAACTTGAAATATACGTACCGTCAAATCAAATTGTATCTCTAATTTCGGAGGTAATCTTGAAAACGGTCCAATTTGTTTAGAATTTGTTTGCTAAAATATTAAACTACAATAAGAAACAACTAAGCACTACAATAAACTCTATGTGACACCATATGGAAATCTGTTTTGAGAATTTTTTATTATTTTACTTAAAAGGAGCTGTGAAATTTTATGGCTAAACCGCCCTAGTCTGTGTCGTCCTCGTGTTTTGAGTTTGCACTTGTATAAATTTAAATTTGCCATATGTTTACGATTTTTTGTTCGTTTTGACACGTCAATTTCAACCATCTCCATAATTCAACTATGAATTTTGGGGGAGTTGGAATACTTTTAATCAAAGAATTTTTTCTGGTAGTTTTTAAGTTATGCTTCTTATTATAAAGAGTTTACTAAATTATGGTTCTCGAAAAGTTTTCATTTAATCTTAAGCTAGATCCAAAAAACAAACTTTATGTTAACAACTGTAAACTTAAACTTGAAAGTCAGCAGCTTTTCTTTTCTTTAAAAAAATGAAGAAATTCTATCCACAGTTGAAGTTCTATACCTGACCATCAATTTTGGCTTTTGTAACGACCACTCCATAACCCATCAAATTCATTGGGTTGTAGATGCTATCACATCATTCCCAGAGCGAAGCAGTTCTGTATTGTCTTTCTACTTCATGAGTCATTGGCCAGGTCTGACACCAGGAATCACTACTGAAGTTCAAATTCTTCCTTCTAGTACACACCATCTTATCCTAAAATCTACCTGTCTGAGAGTTTCTTCAGTGATATTTATCGAACCTTGATCTCTTCTCTTTCTCTCTGGTGTTCTTCAAGGGAGCATTTTAGGTATGTTACTTTTGTACAGAATATACACTATACTTGAGCTACAAGTATAAAACTGTTAGTCTTACTGGTTACAACAAAAATACTTCTTCTAGCTTCTGTATAGACTTCAAGGCTGGAATTATACAAAAGTTTCCTGAACACTAACCCAATCACTCTTACTTTTGCTGATGATTCAGCTATCTGCTCTGTAAACCTTGATCCTGCCCAAGGAGTTCAATCCTTCCAAGCCCTCTCCTTACATTAGAACCATGGTTCCATAGATGGAGAATAAAGGAATATAATAGGCCTCACGACCAACTGTGTTCACAAAGCCATTCATCGAGTTAATGTCAAGTAGTCAAAGAAGCTGCCTAATGTTTATATACATTACATTTACATTTAACACACCGCTCATGTTGTAACCTATCTGCTTTGCCTATAATATATAGGTAATTACTTGCATAAATTAATGCAGTTGTAGATTAATAATAATAATAACATTAATATAAATGTTTGTAGACAGAAAATTGTGTATTCATTCTATCGCCCATCCCATTTCAGTAAGTATGATGATAGCATTACTATCATTTAGTACAGAAAGTACTACATAATCTTTCTTAAAAATTATTTTGTACATCGAACATACAATTTTTTTTTGTATATATCTGTTCTTATTGTCAGGCGAAATCATTTTCTATCTCTTTTTACATCTGCCTATCTGTTGTTCTAACAGTCTTTTGCAATGAAAAAAAATATTACAATATGTATATACACATAGTAAATGTGTAATCGTAATCTTATCTCTATTACATACTTGCATTTCACACTTGCATATTTTCTCCGCTTCATGTACAAAATATGGAATCATGAATTTCTAACCTAATCTAACCCTAACCCATTCAGAGTCCCCTGGTATGTACATGAAAATGGTCCCAACAAAAACATATTCATGTTAAAAAAAGAAACAAAAGATGTGTTTAATAGAGAAATTTAATTAGCAATAAGTACAGCAGTAGTGAGTCTAGGCAGCAGTCTAAATTAATGCTCTAAATTTAAGCTTGCTAAAGTCAAAAATTAATGTTGGTCTATGTAATGAATCAGCAGTTTCTGAATAGTATTAGTCCTTTTTTTGTTTTCATTTGCCTTTCTATGATTTTTGGATCAAGCTAATAAGTTTATGTCACCATGTTTACTAGATGATTTTTTGTACGAGGGTATTTCAACTACAAGGTTAAATGAATGTTTTGGGAAAAACAAACAAAAAAACATTTGTAAGTACGTCGGGTTTCAATACAGGGCGCTGCTGAATTCAAACCTGGGACCTTTACCTTACAGTGATGAGCACCTAAATCGTTTTGGCCACCGACACCCTTAGGAGGATTCTACTGCCTCTGTGCATACAACATAAAAACTGATTTTTTTGATTTCTATATTTTTGTGTTGTTTTCCATTTAGGCTTGGAAAGTTTCTTTTATTTACACTTATCTACAATTATAATTAATCTGGTTAAAAATAAATTAATCAGCCCAACACATGGATGGGACGCAGATTAACAACCTAAACATCTGTAAGAATAACTCAATTTTTTATTTATTTCTAAAGACAGTGTATCATTTGATTATTACATGCCAAAACAACATTACTGTAGTTCATAGAAATCATAAACATGTCAATAATTCTTTTTTTGCTATTATTTAGTCGAATATTAGTACACAAAAAGAACATTCAATCTACATTTTAAAATTACATTTTATAACCTTGTTTTACTGGAGTTATCTAATTTTTGAGATTATTTCAACCCTCAAGTTTGAACTTCGCTACATACTTTAGTCATAAAATATATTAATTTATTAAATTAGAAGTTATATATACAACACAACTTTCAATTCAAATAAAATTATAACTATACAATATAAGCACTGTATGGCATGGAATATTCAGTCTGTGGAGGTTAATGAACAAAACAAATAATAAAGAAGAAAATTAAATTAAAGAACATAGAACATAAAAGTAAAGCCAAAACTGAAATACAATTATAAAACCTGTTTAAAATTTGAATTTTTTAACAAACTCATACCTCTCCATAATATTTTATAAGTGGGTTTGGTTCAGAATTTAGCACAATGATGAGCTGAATTTATTTTAATTTATAGCACTCAGCAAGGAAGTGAAACACTGTTTTAAATAATAAGTAGATGTTATATAAAAGCCATTAACCATAAATATGAGCATCATCGATTCATTATGTTACATTGTCAATGAAGCAGTGATAATGTTTCATAATTGTAAACTAAATTATGTATTATATTATGTAAATTTAATCACATGTAATAAAATTATGTCATGAAATGTTTTTTTTCTGACTTTCTATTTTTAACAATACAGTGTGGAATCCACAATGCAAGAAAGTTAACTTTTAAATAGAATTGTATAAATGTACAATATAAAATCTATAATATTTAATATATAATATTATACTATAAATTTAAAATATAAATTTAAATAGGACCAAACTGGGCACTTTTAAGCCAAAACTGCTGAAGAGGGCGAGCACTAGCAGCTCAAAATCGATACATTTAAAAGTAGATGTTTTTATGAAATTGTGTTTTTGGTTGTGGAATCAATGGAATAGAATATACAAGATAAAAAATAAAAAATAAAATTAACCTGTCGAAGAAAAAATAACAACAAAAATATTATCAATGTATAATGATATAGTTTTTATTTAAATATACTTTGTTTTGCAGCATGTAGTCAGTTTTGCATTTCTCACACTGATGAAATGTAATTGGGAACAGAGTGTATATCAAGACCATAGTTTGGGTGAGATCAGTGCAGTTAATCTAATAAGTGTCAGACCAGTATGATTACATGCAACCTAACTATGAATAAAATGTGAGATGGTTTAATGCCAAAACGCACAGACCAACACACTTAGGACATGCTGACCAAGGTGATTGGTAATGATCAAAATACAGGTTCATCCAATCCATCCATCTTGCAGACACAAAGAAATCTCACAATTTAAAGTTGGAGTTTCTATCGACCTGCCGTAATTAAATTTTTATACTCGGGGTATCTTCATAAGGTCTCATTGATGAAAAAGTAGACATATAGGGTTCCACCAAGCTATTGGTAATTTATATCACCATCCTCAACGCCTATTTTTGGAACAAATACAAACTTAAAGTTAATACCATTTTTGTTTAAGCTTCTTCAATATTCAATAAATATGTCCTGAGGATGGTGATATAAATTGCTGAAAGCTTGGTGGATCCCAATATGTCTACTTTTTCATCAATGCGAAGTACCCCAAGTATAACAACTCACAATTTAAGACAAAAATGTAATTTACTTTAATGCTGAACTATAAATGAAGTGGTAACATTAAAAAAGTAATTGTTACAATATTGAAACATAATTCCATAATTGAAAAATGGCAAAAAGGAGGGAAAACTCAAAAGGTGGGGTTCAGATAGGAAGTTGGTGTCCGAGTGGATCGAGGTCACGATAGCTCAAGTGGTAGAGCAGCGGCGTATTCTAGCCGAAGATCGTGGGTTCGAATCCCGCTCGTGCCATTGACTTTTTTATCTCAACTAAAAACCTTAATTAATTGAAACATCATGTTATCTTTTCCTTGGACAGTACATGATTAGCTTGTTTCTTCGTTGGTCTTGACCAATATGAGGTACTAAACCATCATCAATTTCTCCCATTCTAAACTTATTGCTAGATGAAAATTAACGACCACTTTGTTTGAATGACATAGTAAAACAGGAATGACATAATTGATCATTCCTGCATAAAGTGTTTTAGTAAATTGTTAACATATATCATTGACTATCGGATTATTGACTTGACATATTTTAGTGAAGAAGGTCGTGTTATAAATACACAAATGAACTTTTTTGATACTATTTATAAACGAAGGAAACGAGGGTTTAGTTATAATTAATTTTTTTTTTTTAACGAGGGTTCGCATCAGCAGAGGTCATATAAACCCTCAGGGTGCCGGTGTTTTTGAAAAAAATTATTTTTAACAACCTTATAAGGTCCCCCTTTGTACATATGTTTAATTTTTTCGCCTTTTTCTGTCTACTGTCAGTTTTCTGTCTGTTATTATTTATTAATTAATAAATTAAGCAGTTGCTTTGGTTTTCTTACTTGTTATTATGATCTGAGGTACTTTGCATAGTCGATGAACCAAAACGCCGGCTTGGTCTTCGTCACCTAGCCTGATGTTATTTTAAACCAGTTTTTTAAAAAATATTTATTTTGACAATTAATCCATTGGGAT